AGGACCCCATCTGCTGCCTGGCTGAATGCCTTGGGGTAATGGGGAGTTTGACTCTGTTTCCCATCTGTGAAATGGGTTACCTTGTTGGCTGTTTTTTTTTTTGTTTGTTTCTTAGAAGCCTCTCAGAGAATTTTTAGAAAGAATAATTATACTCCAGGTATGATAGCACATGTCTGTAACCCCAGCTGAAGGAGGAGGATTGCAAGTTCAAGGCCAGCCAGGGCTAAATCTGAAGACCCTCTTAAAACAACAGTAAAACACTGCCCCTCCCCAGGTGCTGAGCCTCCTTCCCACTGGTGGTCCACACCAGGAGCCATGGGATGCCCTTATACAGATGGGGAGTCAAAGCTCAAAGTTCAGGGTCTGTCGAGGTCACACAGCAAATTGAGGGTCCCTGCGGCCGGCACTGGGCCACGGGGGTGACAGTCACCTCCCCTAGGTGCAACCAGAGCAGCACAGATCGTGGGCGGGCGAGAGGCTCAGCCCCACTCTCGACCCTATGTGGCATCCCTGCAGCTGAGCAGGGCTCCAGGCAGCCACTTCTGCGGGGGCACTCTGATCCACCCCAGCTTCGTGCTGAGCGCTGCCCACTGCCTGCAGGACATGTGAGTGCAGGGACACCGTGGGGTGTGGGGGAGGCGGCGGTCCAAGGGGCAGCTGGGCCCTGTCTGGGCATCAGACCTGGTCTCCCCTCCCACTTCTGGCTTCACACTTGCTGGCCTGTCCTCTGGGGCAGTGGTGGGAGGGGTCGCGGGCTGCTGCGGGTGTGTGTTGGGGTGGGACACCAGTGAATATGAGGGCTGAGAACCGAGACTTGACCTCCCCAGCCCTGCACACTTGGTGACCGTGGTGCTTGGGGCTCACGACCTGCAGAGCCCTGAGCCAGTGCAGCAGACGTTCACCATCAGTCAGGTGTTTCGCAACAACTATAACCCCGAAGAGAACCTCAACGACGTGCTGCTCATTCAGGTGGGTGGGTGGAGTCTGGGGACTTCATCTCTACCGCCCTGCCAGAGGCACACACACCAGGATCCCATGGAGCTGGAGGGTTGGAATTCAACCAGTCCTCCTACACCTATGTTTCTCTCTTGAACATGCCAACCCCTCTGCCTCCGCCCCTGTTCAGGCTATGCCCCACGCCAGTACCCTCACAGCCTGGGCATCACACAACCGTCAGCGCCACCCAGGACTGTGGCGCTCCTGGCCCCTCCCACCTTGAAAATCAGCGTTCCCAGCAGAGAATTGTCTGAATTGGTCAACACTGGAGCCCTGGAGCTCAAAATAGAACTGGGCATACACTTGGTGCTCAATAAGTGCTCCGCAGAGGAAACAGCAAGGGTCGGGAGGCGTGGTGAGGGGCTCCCGGGAGGCGAGGGCGGGAGTATAGGGTGGCGCCGGGCCTGGGGACAAGTTCTCACCCGCCCGCTTTGCCCCAGCTGGACCGCCCGGCTTCCCTCAACGCCGAGGTGGCGGTGGCCCAGCTACCCCGGCAGGACCAGCCGTTGCCTCAAGGCACCCAGTGCCTGGCCATGGGCTGGGGCCGCCTGGGCACCCGCGCGCCGACGCCCCGCGTGCTTCAGGAACTGAACGTGACCGTGGTCACCTTCTTGTGCCGGCCACACAACGTGTGCACGCTGGTGCCCCGCCGCAGCGCCGGCATCTGCTTCGTAAGTACCCGTGCGCAGGCCCGGACCTGGGTTTGGGGGAGGGAAAGGCAGGGAGAGGGGTCCTGGAGAGAGGAGCTTTGGAGAAGGAGGGGCTCCAAGCATGGGGGGCCCGTGGGGAGGGCGGGGCCGTGACGGGGGAGGAGCCCCGGAGTGGGAGGGGCTCCAGGGAGGTAGGGCGGGAAAGGAGGCGGGTGGGGAGGGGGAACCGGGGTATGTAAGGACTGGGAACGGAGACTCTGGAGAGGACGGCCTGGAGAGGGAGGAGCCCCGGAGAGGGAGGGCCTCCCCCCCAGCCCCCCGGGAGTGTGGGGATAGAGGAGGACCCAGGGAGGGAAAGGCTTCCGGTAGGAGCGGAGCTCATGTTCTGGGTTCTGTTCCCACATCTTTGCTCAGTCGTCACTCTGAGCCTCCGTTTCCCCACCTGGAGGACGGCATGTCCACAGTGAGGGTTAGCAGGGCAGTGAGTGGAACAGCTCTGGGCCCCCCGTGGAATAGAGGCTCTCATGTTCTACCTGGGGGCGTTTGTGGGTCTGGGGACTCCTCCCTCCTGGTCCGTCTGGGACATGGGAGGGTATGGGTGACCTTTCCAGAATCCAGTGGTCCAGGTGCCCAGCAGGAGACCAATAAATGCCGTCGTCGTCCACTGGCCACCCCTGGGACCGGGACCCTTTTCCCGTCTCTGGGCCCTGGGGCATTGACAGACTTCTCTACCCCACCCCAGGGAGACTCGGGGGGACCCTTGGTGTGTGACGGCGTCCTGCAGGGGGTGGACTCTTTCGTGATCCGGGAATGTGCCACCCGCCAGTACCCCGACTTCTTCGCGAGAGTTTCCCTGTATGTGGACTGGATTCAAATGGTGCTGCGCAGCGCGGGAGGGCCGGGCCGCCTCCGGGTCGCCCTTCCACAGGCCAATCCGCTGGGCACAGAGGCGGGCAGCAAACCCTAATGGGGGAGTTTGGGCCCAGCAGATCTTTCCAGAAGGTTCTTGACACCATGGAGAGTCCTGCAGCCATTCCATCTGTCCCAGCCCACCCTGGGGCTCTCAGGAGGCAGGCAGGGAGCCCTGCTCCATGTGACCTCAATAAAAGCTGAAACTCTCTCCAGCTCCTGTCTGTCCTTCCCTCAGGTACATAGGGAGCTGGCCAGAGCCCCTTACTCGGGATGGGGATAGAGTGGAGGCTGGGCTCATCAGAGTCTCACTCCAGATGCCCACAGCCCCTCCTGTGGGGCCCTAGGCGAGTCACTTCTCATTTTGGTGCCTCAGTTTCCTCGTCTGGAAAATTGGTCATTCTGGCACTTCCTAGAACTGGCTGAGGAGTCCCTTGACCCATGGAACTCAGCCCTATGTCCCCAGCTTGGGGTTCCTTGAGGGCCAGTCTGTCATCACATGGGTGGTCAGGACTACTGTGGGGAGCATCCAGTCCTGTGGGTCCTGGTCCAGTTGTGGCAGACAGGAGGGCCTCCTGTGGGAAGTGGCAGTGTCTGGGCTGAGTGCTGAAGTGTGAATAGTACAGGAGATGGACTGCAGGCAAGGGCCCAGAGTCAAGAGCAAGCTGGGGGCCCAGTGTGAGGCCAGGCACTCAGTGAGACTGAATGAGCAGGGGCAGGAGATAGGGAGGAGAGCAAGTGAGGAGTGGCACCCTGGTGTGCACCTAGATGAGCACAGACTGTATTTCTCATGGGTGGGGCCCCATGGTGGCAGAAATGAGCCCAGAGGGAAAGAGGGTATGAGTCATAGACCAGCCCCAGAGAGAAGAATCTGGTAGTTGAGATTCATGGAGGGGCAGCTGATTTGATTTACTCTGTCACCACTTGGTGGCAGTGTACCAATTTAAGCAAGAGGGAGAACACCCAGCCTTTTCTAACTCTTTTAAACCTCCACCAGGATCACTTAGGGAGAATCTGAGACCTTACAGCAGCAGTGTTGGCACCAGACCTGTGCCGAGATGCCCTGGACCCTAGGAAGTGTGCACTCCTGAATGTCAGGGACTCTAGTGATTTTTAGGAGACCCAGGGGACCTTTTGGTGCTCAGCACGGGGGGTAAATGAGGTTTGCTGGAGGGAATAAGCCCATGGATTGGAATAAATAAAAAGACCCACAAAAAAGTTTTCTGTGAGCTGGTGTGTGAAAGACATTTCTATAAGAACGTCCCAGGTCTGGGAGGGAGGGTTGCGGCTAGGGGGCCTGTGAGCACCAAGGAGGGGGCAAGGAGGAAACTGAGTCACAGAGGGACTGATTCAGTGACCTAAAGTTCCACTGTAGGGACCAGAATATGAACCCAGAGTCAACACCCTTAGTCACCACGGCATGGATGAGCATAGTATACAGACAGTGCTCAATAAATGCAGCTGTAGCTAAATCTGGTCTCCTTGCCCAAACCAAACCCTTCAAGAGCTAGAAGTAGCTGAGGTTGTTGAAGTCCAAGAAGGACAAACTTACAGGAATGGGGAACAGGATGCTGGGCACAAGACTTGGGGGCTCCAGTGAGGGAGGGGTCCCCTAGGGGCCCAGGGAGAGGTCTGTGTTGCTGGGGTCCCCCAACATCTCCAACAGCCTCCTGCAAGCAGGATAGTCAAACTTACTTCCACACGGACACTTGCATCAAGTAGGACAGCATCCTCCCGCCTGAAAGATACACAGACACTTCTAACCCCAAAGCCCCTGCAGCCCATGCCCTGTGGCACTGGAGACCAAACCTTCCTTCTGATAAATAATGGTTAACAAGCTCCTGAAGACAGTGCTTTCTTAGGCGACAGCTTTTATAAATGTTAATTCATCCAACTACTGCTAACATCCTATGACTTGGAACCTATTATAGCTCCCATTGTATGCAGGAGGAAACTGAGTCACAATTCAGTGGCCTGAACTTCTGCAGTGGCAACTGTGATATGAATCCACTCAGCCACCACAGCGTGGGTGAACATAGTACACAAGAGGTGCTCAATAAATGAGCTGACCGTGGTCTCCTTGCCCAAACCAAACCTCCCCCTCAACTCCCTGCAAAGACATGCAATCCTTCCTTCTGCTCTTTTCCTTGACATGAAACAGCTGTGTATATAGCAGGTGCTCAATAAGTGCTCTTTGATTTCAAGACAGCAGGGTAGGAGTCAACCAAAATAGGAAGGGGCAAGACCAATTGGTGTGTGTGTGACCAAGCCAGGGGCAATGGACTGACAGGGATTGATCACCTGCTGTATGCCTGGCTACAGAGGAGAGCGAGCAGTGGTCCTCATTTGAGAAATATGGTAGTTCACATATCAGAGGAGCCAGGTCCAATGATTACAGCCTGGCCAGCCCTGGTGTCCCTGGCACCCATCCCACCAGTCCTGGAGATGTCAGTTGGTTCCCTCCTCTGTACCTTGCGCCTGAGCTGGGACGTTGGTCTTGCAACATCCCTGGCTGCCACCCCCAGGAGAGGTGTGTGGGGCAGGGTGGGGGGTCTGGGCCTGGAATCCTGTTTCCATCTCCACTGTGGGGTGCCAGCTCTCCCTCCAATTCTAGACCTGTGATCTCCGGTCACTGCTGCAGTGGTACAAGGTCCAGTGCAGCTCAGGGACATGGGAGAGGATCTCCCAGGACTTCTACAGGGCTTAGGGACTGATGGAAACCAGGTGGCAATGAGTTCCTCATTGTGAGCAAACATTAAAGGGGTGAGGGACAGGCCATGAGAGGCCACAGTGTGGGGAGGTGGCCACAAAGCTCCAGCCAGAGTTGGCCTCAATGTGCTGACCAGCGGTGAATCCCAGGATCTGGGTTAAAATTGCAGCTAACCCCCCTCCCACCAGATTGCTAGGTGGGCAACACATGGAGCAGGTTAAGACATGCCTCAGTTTCACTACCTCAACTAAGGAGCTAGCCCTGCCACCCTGGAAGAAAGTCAGACAGCACTGGGCATGGGAATGCTCAGTGCGGTTTCCTATTGCTGTGATTACGGTGCCCTGGGTAAACTGAGGCACAAGGGAGCAGCCAAGGTCTCTCAGATCCCGATTAGCAAAAATACATGATGCCCAGTGAAATCTGAATACAGATAAACAGTGACTAATGTCATAGATAGGTTGTCCTGTGCCTTTTTTTGGGACATGGTTTTACTTTAAAAAAAACAAAAAACAAAAAAGGATTGTTTTCCTAGCATTCATCTCGTGTCCTGAATTTGACCTGGAGGCTTGCCACAGCCCTTTGCTCATCACCCCCTCTGTACCTCGGGAGAGGAAGTGGGGCAATACCAACGGCCACCCTGTGTGAGATATAAGAGCTCCTGGTGGGCACCAGCTAGGGACAGGGACACCAGAGCCCAATGCCACCATGGCCTGTGTCCACCCACCCTCTACTCCTGTTGTCACATCTGTGCTGCTGGCCTTGCTGCTGGGTGGTGAGTGGGGACCCTAGCCATCCCCCTGCGGGCCATCTGGCCCTGGGTGTCCTCTCCCCTCTGCCCTGAATGTGCTTGGCCTGGAGGGTCCCTCTTCTTCATGGGGTGGAAGCAGCTGGGACAAAATCCCAGAAAAGGAAATGGAGGTTCTTCCCACCAGGAGCTGGGAGCTTTGGTACATCAATCTGGGGTTCCCTGGGCATCCTCTAGGGGTGCAGCCCAGCTCAAGTCCAGAAGGATGGTGGGCAGCTCCTCCTCTCTGTGCCTCAGTTTCCCCCCAAGACTTCCTAATGGGGGCTCCAGGGGTCATGTGGGCAGAAGGCAGCGGGCTTCAACAGGCACTCACTATCCCCATCCCGTGTGTCCCCAGGCCCCTCGTTGGCCACGGAGATCGTGGGTGGCAGGCCAGCCCGGGCCCATGCATGGCCCTTCATGGTGTCCCTGCAGCAGCGCGGTGGCCACTTCTGCGGCGGGACTCTGATCTCCAGGAACTTCGTCCTGTCAGCAGCGCACTGCGTAAACGGCAGGTGAGTGGCGAGGGACCTTCTCCCCTTCCCAACCTCAGTGTCCAGAGCGCTATGGGGCTCCTGGGGACCTGCCTTGAGCCCGGGGCCACAAACCTCTGGGTGGGACCACCTGGCTCCGCGCAGGTCAGGCCAGCCCGCGGGGTCTCTCTGCGTCCCACCCCCAGGACCATCCTCACTCCCCTTCCCCTAGAAACTTCCGGTTGGTGTCAGTGGTGCTTGGCGCTCATAACCTAGGGCGGCAGGAGCCCACCCGACAGACCTTCGGCGTGCAGCGCGTTTTCGAGAATGGCTTCAACCCCACACTCCTGCTGAACGACATCGTGGTCCTCCAGGTGCGCCCTGCAATGAGAGTCCAAAGGTGTGGGGCTGGGAAACATGCTGGGGACAGACTGTGGGGTCCAAAAGTACAGACCGTCAGTAACTTGGTAGCTCATCCTCTCTCTGTGTCTCCGTTTCCACCTCAGTACAATGGGGGCGTAACTCTCCCTTGGGCCAGCTGTTGAGGGGTTAAATGAAATGTTACAAGGAAAGCTCTCTGACCACTTGTCAGTCAACAAACCATCATTATTTGTCCTTCTCCACTCACCTTCCCTGTTGCTGAGAGCAGGGACAATCCGTCTTGAGAAATGGGGCAAATACTCCACCTTTGGGGCAGGTGGGAGACTCAAGAGTTCTTTCCTGCCCTGAACCCTGGCTTGCAAAACTATGACTATTCCCTGTGAGTGGTTTTATTGAGTACCTAGTGTATACTGACCTCCAGCCACAACTAGAGACAGAGATTGTGGTTGCTTCCACTTAATAGATGGGAAAACTGAGGTTTGGAGTGGGGAGGGTCATTGCCTACTGCCCACATGACACCCTGATTGTTTTCTCCCCTCCACTGTAGCTCAATGGGTCTGCCACCATCAACACTAATGTGCAGGTGGCCAGGTTGCCAGCCCAGGGTAATGGTGTGGACAATGGAACACAGTGCCTGGCAATGGGCTGGGGCAGACTGGGCAACAACAGGCCAACGCCCAGCATCCTGCAGGAGCTCAACGTGACGGTGGTGACGTCCCTGTGTCGCCGCCGAGTGAACGTGTGTACGCTTGTGCCCCATCGGCAGGCTGGCATCTGCTTCGTACGTACCCCATGCTCCCCTCTGCGCCCTGCCCAAGCTGCAAGGAGCAGCCAAACTACAGGGTGGACTTCCCAACTCTGGCGGGTGGGCAGGAATCCTCAGAATCCAGCCTTGGACCTTGTTTGCCTTAACAGGGGGACTCTGGTGGCCCTCTGGTCTGCAATGGACTGGTCCAGGGCATTGACTCCTTCATCCGGGGAAGCTGTGGCTCTGGCTTCTATCCTGATGCCTTTGCCCCTGTGGCAGAATTTGCAAACTGGATCAACTCCATCATTAGCAGCCAGGAGGACCATCTCCCTCTCCACCCCAGAGACCCTGCAAGCAGGACCCCCTAGGTTGACTGCCTCTGCCACCTGCTTTAGCTACTCACAAAGGCACAATAAATGTCTGCTCTGTTTTGTAGAAGGTATCTTGTGTTTGTTGACAGTGCAATTGATTGTCTAGAACAGTCAGAGTATGTGTGGCAACTCTTGAGTACTCTGCCACCAAGTGGCAGCAAAGTGAAGTCATGGCGGCAAGAAATGCGTCCTTTCCCCACTTTCTACAAAAGAATGTTGTGTGCCATTTCTACTTTCCCTTCTTTACGTCCACTTTCAAGGACTGGAGGTGACAGAGCATCTGGTTTGCAAGCGAGAAGTCCTGAGTTCAAATCCCAGTACTGCCAACTCTCCCCGCAAAGAGCAACAATAAAAAAAATTACATAATCAGATCAGAATGGTAGACATGCCCCTGAATTATTGACAGACAGGTGTGAAGGTCAGGAGCCTGGGCTTAGGGTTTCCCAGCTCTGTGACTTCAGGAGAGCTGTTCATTGTCTCTGTAACCACTCAAGAAAACAAATATAACAAATATAAACTCCCCTCCCTCTTTGCTTCTGGCCCCTCTGTCTGGAACTCACTAACCTGGTCCTACCTCAGGACCTTTCCCTTTGCCTTTTCTTTTTACTAGTGCAGGGGTAGAATCCAGGACTTTAGACATGCTAACCGCATGTTATGCCAGTGAGCCACACCCCTGTCCCCAGCGCAGAGCTTTTGGACATGTGCAGTTCCCTTTGCCTGCAGGGTGTTCTCTGGGCAGCCCCCGCTGTCACATCTCTCTCCCTGCCCTATGATCACCAAATCCATTTTATACACCCGGCCATCTTTCCACATCATCGGCATCTGTGGAAGTTAAGGGTTGTTTACTGAACTGTCCTTTCTCACTGGGCCCCTGGGTGCTTTCCAAATTTTGTTGCAATTTTGAACATTCTTGTTTCAACAATCTGGGTTTTATCCTAAAAGACTCTTGTCCAAGAACTTCTGATTTTAACAAGATACAAGTTTCCGACAAATTGCATTTGTTATATTATTTTCAGTTCTTTATGTATGAAGTAGTCCATGGTGGAAAAAAAAAGTCAATGAAAATGCAGGGTGCTGTTTCCACTGGGGGTGTCTTAAGTCCTTCCACCCCCTGCTCCCAGCACCTCCACTCCATAGGCTCCAGAGCTACTGACCCATCATCCTCTCTTCCACAGATTCTGCCCATCAGAACCTACCTGCAGCAATTAGCTCAAGAAAAAGCATGTGATCCAGGTTTAGCCAATCAGAGGCATCCCCAAGACACTGGCTGGCGTGATGGGAAATTTTAGGAGGGGCCCATGGAACCACTTGTCAGTCCAGGATCTCAGAGACCAAAAGAAGGGTGTCTGGTGAGGACAAAAGCTGTCAGGGAAGAAAGGACAAACCAGAAGTTAACACCTGACATTATTCAAGCACCTAGACCAAACCACACCTGGCATAGATATCCCTTAACTTTCATTTAACTTTTCTTTTGGAAGGCTCCACTGAGTTTTACTTGGTTTTCTTCAGCTGCCTCTATCTCCCATCTTTCCAATATTCTACTTTGGAATGTCAGGTCCCCAAAGCCACAGGACAGGGACAATAGTGTTGGTGAGTTCTCCCCACCCCCACCAGACCTTCTCTCCAAGTTGGAGGAAGAACAGAGGGGGTAGAAAGATGAAATGGGTTGTTTACAAGCTTGGGCCTCCAGATGCTATTGTGAAACCTCAAACTGGAAGGACACTTGAGGTCTGGGGGTGGGGAGGGACTGGGATAAAGGGCTAGGCAGTCCAGCCCTCCTCTCTGTCTCCTGCCCATCCCAGAGGCTGCTCCCCACAGGGTGGGCACTGGGTAGGCTGCCAGGGCAGGAGGTACCCCCTGTTCTTGGCACAAGCCTGGCTGGGAAAATCGACCCCAGGAGGGTGGAGGCTGGAGGCTGCACCAGGCTCTCCTTTCCCCAGGTTGGGCCACTGCCCAACCTGCAGAAAGGCCCCTGGGAGGGACCTACCCTACTCCACCCCCCATAAAAGGACCCCAGGGCCCCGCCTGGGTCAGTGTCCTGGCCACAGCAGTATCGTCATGTGCAGATCGGTGAGCCTGGAAGCTCTTGTCCTCCTGGGGGTGGCTGTGTGTGGTGAGTAGACCTTGGAGAGGGGCTTGGCACATCAGCCAGTAGGGAAGTCAGCCAGGGGTCCCCTGGATCAACCAGAACCATCCCCTAAGTCCCACCATGTGGGCAGGAAGTGGGGACAGTCTGGACAAATGCGCAGCTCTGAAAGCCAAGGACTAGAATCTTTTATCTGAGTCTCAGCTTTCTCCATAGTGAGAATCTTGAAACACTACAGTGGAAACTGAGGCCAACTGGGCCATCGGGGGTACTGTTTGGTCAGCTCTTTTTTCTTAGGTTTTATTTGAAGCCTTAGGCTCAAGGTGTAGCCTAGAATTTGTCCCAGACTCCACTTCTGCCCCACAGTTTTGTCAAGCCACCAAGGCACCTGAATTTGCAACTCCTGGTGGAAAGGACACAGTAGTGATGGAATTCGAGGCCTGAGGCAGCTCGGGGGATGGGGGACATCTGACAGTGGGTTCGGGTCATACTGGACCTCTTGGGGGGCCCAGTCCACCCGAGGCTCTCATGTCTGCCTGCCAACACAGTGGCGCAGCCCCGCGGTCGAATCCTGGGCGGCCGGGAGGCGGAGGCCCATGCGCGGCCCTACATGGCTTCGGTGCAGGTGAACGGCAAACACCTGTGTGGCGGCGTTCTGATTGCGGAGCAGTGGGTGCTGAGCGCAGCGCACTGCTTGGACGACTCGTGAGTGGCGGGTGCCGGCGGGTGGGCCTGGGAAGGCTAGGGATGCAGCTCTGACCAGGACCTCGCGGTGTCCCCAGGGGCGACGGGAAGGTGCAGGTGCTCCTGGGCGCGCACTCGCTGTCGCGGCCCGAGCCCTTCAAGCGCCTGTACGACGTGCTTCGCGAAGTACCCCACCCGGACAGCCAGCCTGCCACCATCGATCACGATCTCCTCCTGCTGCAGGTCAGGAGGCCAGCCGTATCCCTCTCGCTGAGTTGGAAATCCCGCCTCTTTTCTGCCCCCGCCTGTACCCTCATCCCGTCCAGTCACTATCTCTCGTGCTCCACTCCCGCCTGCGTCCCCACCCCGAATCTAGCCGCAGCCCTTTGCTTCACCGCCCCCCTCCCCGCCCCGGCGCCCCGATTCTGACGTCTGCTTCTACCCCGCTCCGGACCAGTTGTCGGAGAAGGCAGTGCTCAGCCCCGCGGTGCGCCCACTGCCCTGGCAACGGGAGGACCGCGAGGTGGCGCCGGGTACGCTCTGCGACGTAGCGGGCTGGGGCGTAGTCAACCACGCGGGCCGCCGACCCGACCGCCTGCAGCACGTGCTCCTGCCAGTGCTTGACCGCGCCACCTGCAACCAGCGTACCTATCACGACGGCGCCATCACCCAGCGCATGATGTGCGCGGAGAGCAACCGCCGCGACAGCTGCAAGGTGCATAGTGGGCGGGGCTGCGGGGAAAGGGGTCGGGCCTACAAGGAGATGGGGTTACTGAAGAGGAGGGACCCAGGTAAGTGGAGTACGGGAAGGGGAGGGTGGAGCCCGGGAATGGGAGAAATGGTGGCAAAAGGGCAGGACTTGTGTAGCGATGGGGTGAGTGGGACAGAGGAGAGGCAGGTCCCGGAGCGGGCGGGATGAGGGGAGGGGCTAGTACCTGAGAAGAGCTAAATGAATGAGGACAGGTGGGTGGGGCTGCAACAGCAATGGGAGTTTTCTGCGGGGGGAGAGGGCGTGGCTGAAATGGGGGCGGACAGCCGTGGGTGCATATGTGGCTCATGGCCCCTCTCCTCAGGGAGACTCCGGCGGCCCGCTAGTGTGCGGGGGCGTGGTCGAGGGCATAGTCACATCGGGCTCGCGAGTCTGCGGTAACCGCAAGAAGCCAGGGATCTACACCCGCGTGGCGAGTTATGCGGCCTGGATCGACAGCGTCATGGCCCAGGGCGCAGAGGCCTGAGCTGAACCAGCAAGTCCGGGGCACTTGGGGCACGACAATAAAGGCATTCAATTTGTGTCCGTCTGAGCACCTGCTGCATGTGGGGCCCCGAGCGGAGCGTGCTAGGTCGAAAGTAAGCTGTGGATCGGCGCCCCTGGGGGTCCTTGGCAAGAGCTCACAGACTCGGACACCTTTAAGAAGCTGAGAGCCAGGTGTCGTTTCGAGCTCGGCCACACGGCGGTGTCCTTGATCTTCCCTGGAAGTTTAGGTTCCAGCAAGGGGACCACTCTCTGTGAGGTAGTGTTTCCCTTTTCCCCCAGCTTCCTGGTGGAGCTTGCGCCCAAGACCCTGCTCTGGTCTGAGATGGCGGTGCACAGACCCTCTGGGGTTGTGGCCTATAGCCTGGGTCCCAGAAGGGAAAGCTAAAGCCCACAGGGGCCGCGTGACTCTCCTGGGTCATGCTGAAGCTCCAGGACACAGCCTGGACTCGAATCAGAGCTGGGTTCTGGTTCATAAACCAGCAGGGTGTGCCAGGGTTACACAAGGAAGAAGTTGATGTCTACAGCAGCCTCACCTGGTGAAGCTGAGTGACTCCACAACCCTGTGGAGGGGCACATCTCCATCTGTGCAAGGGCACAGAGGTGACAGAAGAGAGAAGCCAGGCCCCAGGCCCTGTGCACTTCCTCCTTGGCCACTGAGATCCACAAAAGGAGGCTCATGGCTTCCCTTTTATAGAAAGAGACCTGGGGGCTGAGAAGCAAAGCCACACCCTGCTGGGACAGGGAAATGCAATCGGAACTCAGGCCTGAACTGCACCTTGGAATCACATTCACACACACCTACTGTGTGCGGCTCTGCTTCTGAGGTACTTGGCAACTATTCAGTGCATGGAATGTAATTCATGGGGCTGTCATGACCAGCATGAGGTCGTCCACAGCATGCTGGTGATTTCCTGTGTAATTTAAAGGTTCACTACGTTAAGTTAGAGGAAAAGGATTACTGGATGTTCAGCCTTCAAAGATGCATTCAGGCTGGACAGTAGTGGTTCAAACCTGTAATCCCAGCTACTCAGGAGGCAGAGATCAGGAAGATTGAGGTTTGAAGCCAGCCTGAGCAAACAGTTTGCAAGACCCTACCTTGAAAAAATCACAAAAAAGGGCTGGTGGAGTGGCTCAAGGTGTAGGCCCTGAGTTCAAACCCCAGTACCCCCCCCTAAAAAAAAAAGATGCATTCAGGTACTTGCTGAGTTGATGACGTTAGGGAGTGGCTTCAACATTATCTGGCTTGGTGGGTGGATAGGGTTACTGGACTCAGCAAATGAGTCCAGTTTAAAGCAATGCCAGATAAACAACAAATATTTTTCACAATGTAAATATTTCCCAGGTGATGCTTGGGACCTATACTGGTAAAGCACTGTTCACTGAGTTCACTCAACACCCTGCATCTTATCTAGTAGCACAGGTGACACTGGGCTGCTGAGAGCTGTGGGCACTGGATCAGAAACAGCATGGACTGGGGAGGAGATCTGCCTGAGGAGAAACATGCAGCACAAAAGGGTGGATTTTTCAAGTGGAAGGCCTGGCAGAGACATGTTTAAATACTGTTTGTCCTTCAAGCCCTATTTTAATCATAGTGGAGTCAGCAAGGCCTCTGCAATCAAAACAAACCAGGAAGCCTGGCAACAGGGCTTTTCTAGAGCTCGGTTACTTCTAGCAACTTCCCCAGAGCTGTAAGTCTCCCTGGGCATTTTCAGCTTCGTCTTACAGTCAGTGAGAGCAACAGAGGGCTCTGGAGGAGGAAAAGTTCAGTAGGAGGTGGATAGCAAGTGCTGGGAATGCACAGGGCACCATGAGCACTAAACCTAAAGTGTGCATGTCCGTCTTTTGAGCCTGTCCTCCCTCCTTGTGATGTGAAGCCCCTTCTCTGGCTCTCAGGAAGCTGAGAATTGAGTCAGGGGACACTGCCAGGCATTGCTGCTGACCCCTAGGAATGGGTACTGTGTGGGAAGATGGCAGGAAGCACTGCAGGAGACATTTTACACCTGGTTGGTCCTCCATCCTTTTTTTTTCTTTGCAATACTGGGGTTTGAACTTAGGGCCTACACCTTGAGCCACTCTACCAGCCCTTTTTTGTATTGGATATTTTCAAGATAGGGTCTTTCAGACTATCTGTCCAGGCTGGCTTCAAACCAGGATCCTCCTGATCTCTGCCTCTTTAAGTAGCTAGGATTATAGGCGTGAGCCACCAGCACCCAGCTTCCAACCTCCTCTTGATCATTCCAGAAGGTGCAGACAGAGGGCCCCATATGTGCCCTCCTGCAGTGCCCCCAAAAGCCAGGGGCCGCAGGACTCATGCTTGTCAACAGCACTGTGGGGGACACTTCAGCTATCCACCATGGACCCTTGGCTGCTGGTCAGGGATGGGCCTGGCTGGTGGTGGCCTGTCTGCTCCTTGGCCTTTATGCCTAACTGGGTGAATCCTGGGGCTGCAGTCATCTGGAGGCTGATTTGCTGTGTGGTGCTCCCTATGTCTGGTCTCCTCCTGTGTGGAGGGCCCTCTACCCTCAGAGTCACCAGAGGGACCAGCAGACTCCAGAGAAGGTCACTGACCACCTGCAATGGGTGCAGTAGCTGGCTGCCAGACTGCACAGCTACGGGAAAGAGGTGATTCCCAGATTGTTCATGAGCATGAAGTGCTCAGGATGTCATGAGAGGGGTAAAGTGACGATAAAGCGAAAAAGGCAACTGAGGCTGGGCCACATGAATGTCATAAAAAGCTGAGGGAGAACCAGAACCTTGGGAAACCAGAGGCGAGGCTCTTGGCACAGGGCATCAGTGTGGACACGAGGTCAGTGGGGGGCCTAGCCCTGACCCCAATGTGGCAGAATGTGCACTGCAGGTCAGGTCTCGTGCTCCCTCCTCACTGCTGGAGGCTCCAGCTCGGGGAAGTGCCCACCCATGGGATCACAGCCACCTGGGCCTATCCCTCCATGGGCTGAAGCTCAGCTCCCCAATGGAGCAGAGCCCTGCAAAAGCAGTTCAGAGGGGATTCTGCCTCCCATGAAGACCTTTGGCCGCTTGTGTCCCCAGGCTACTGCTCAGGTCACAGACTTCCTGCACTGTGCACCCCCGCAGGGTGCCCACCCTCAGCCTCCAGAAAGAAAGTAAAGAACAATTACTACTGAACACACAGGCCCCAGCCTGAGTAGGCTGACCACTGCGGGGAGCAGACATAATGGAGACATAATCGCTGAGAGCAGAGTTAGCAGCGCAAAGTGGAACCCCTGAGGGCACAGAGCTGAGCTGAGCCACCAGAAGCCCAGGGCCACTGGCTGTGTGGGGTGAGGGAGGGAGCAACAGAGACGCCAAGGCAGAGAGGAGGGAAGAGATAAGCAGAGGGACAGAGACTTCACTCATGGCAGGCACCCTGCGCCTGGCATACACTCAGCAGCTCCATAATTGTTGACTGACATAAATACAGCACACAGCCACACCCATGGGGCACAGTGCCATGGCCTGTTTACTGGCCCCACCCTTCCACCCGGCTCCCCAGGTTCATAACTGCCTTCGTGGTTACAGGCAGGAAACCAAGGCAGGCAGCCTGAGTAATATCACACAGACTCCACTTGGACACCTGCAGATGCTCCAGCGACGTTTTTAAAGGATGCTGCCTGCGGCTGACCCAGGCCCTCCATGCCAGGGCACTGTGGACAAGCCCTGGCAACCCAGGGTGCTGGGGTGGCATGTGGACTGCACCCTAAGCCAGGGAAGATGTGGCACTGCTGGGCTGAGCTGACCCCAGTCAGAACCCTTGTTGAGTTCTCTCCTGTCCTGTCCAATGACAGAGGTACTAGCCATGAATGCCCTGCCGTGAGGACGGGTGGGAATGTTTTCAGAATGAAGGGATGGTGCCATGGAGCCCAGTAAATCTAGTCACAGCATGGCCAGCACTTCAGGCTCACGAGTAGCTGAGGGGTACCCTCCGCCAGAGTCCCCCACATAGGCAGTTCTTTATCCACCGCTGTTCCCACTGTTTCACAGCTGTTGTATTGTTGGGTGACTTGAGCATGGTGACGCAGCCACACCTGGAGGGGATGGAAGCCAGGGTGATAGGCACTATGTGTGGAGTGACCCTCCAGCCTGCCCCACCCACCTCAGGGTTTAGCACATGCTGCTCCCCATTAGTAATGCTGTTCCCTACACTGGGCCTGCTAGGTCAGTAGATAGGTACTGCCTTTCCAGAATGGCAGTTTTCCCTGTGCAGAAGCGGTGGCCCAGTGATCTCTGACTTGGTCACCCCGCCATTCTGAGAGTGCAGCCCTGGGAGTCATGTAATGTTTGGGCTTGTTTTGTGGTGGCATGGCCAAAGGTTGCTGGGTCATGAATTAATTTCCACATTGGGTTTCTGGGAACTTCCAAGGGGCAGGGCAGGATGTGCAGGCCCTCCCAGAGTTCTGGCCCTAAGATCTCAGCAACCCAGGAGGGAGATGACTGCAATGGAGGCCCAGAGGCGGTAGGCAGATAGTTCACTCACCTAGTGCAGGCCTTGCACTCCTCTGTGGGATAGGCACCCAGGTGCAGCCTCCGCAGGTGGTCTATCTTAGGCTGGCCAGGTGCCCTGGGGACAAGAGGAGAGGTTGTGAGGGGGTAGGGTTGTGGGCATCTGTCCCACTACAGCTGGACAGCACAAGACCAAGGCTGGCGTCTGAACTGTGGGTCAGCATAGGAGGCAAATGACCCTGAAAGTGACTTCTCTAGTGGGCAACGCACTGGGACTATCCAGATGGTGGCCATGCAGAGTGAAAAGGTTATGATATGGGAGGGGGGGCCCCTTTATTATGACAAAAAAGGTGAGCCAGGTGCCAGTGGCTCATGCCTATAATACTAGCTACTTAGGAGGCAGAGATCAGGAGGATTGTGGTTCGAAGCCAGCTCAGGCAAATAGTTCACGAGACCCTATCTCAAAAAAAAAAAAAAAAAAAAAAACCAAAACCAATCACAAAACAAAAAGGAAAAAAAAGTCACAAAAAAGGACTGGTAGAGTGGCTCAAGGTGTAGGCTCTGAGTTCAAACCCCAGTACTGCCAAAAAAACAAAAACAAAAACAAAAGCGGTGAGGCTAGGACCTGGTGAAACCTATAATCCCAGCTACTTGGGTGGTGATCAGGAGGGCTGCAGCTTGAGGTCAGACCTGGCAAAAAGTGAGCGAGACCCCCATCTCAACCAATACCTGGGCATGGTGGCTGTGGGCCTGTGGTTCCAGCAACTCAGGACATGAGGCAGAGGCAAGAGGATTGAGGCCCAAGACCCTGCTGGGCAAAAAGCAAAACCCTATTTGAAAAATAAGTAAAAGAAAAAGCTGGAGGTATGGCTCAAGTGGCAGAGTTCCTGCCTAGCAAATGTGAGATGTGAGGCCCAAGTTCAAACTTCAGTACTGCAAAAAAAAAAGAAGGAAGGCTGAGATGCAACTCAGCAGCTCAGTGGTGAGTGCTTGCTCATTACTATGTGGTATGAGGTTTGGGTTTTATCCCTAGTACTGCAAAACAAATAAACAAACAAACAAAAAGAAGTAAAGCAACAATAATTGTACGTACAAACCAAAGCTCAGGGAAGTATGAGTTTTCCTTCCTTTCTTTTGTCTTAATTCCATGGCTCGCATAACTGTTATCTTTGAAATACGACTTGCCCACAGACACACCCGGCCCTGGAAGGTCCTCAAAGCCCTGGCACTTGAAGCCTGGAAACAGACATTTCCTGCCTGCCAGTTTATGGGTGTGTGTCCTGGGGGAGGACCTCAAGCAGGGCTGAGGACAGTCTTCCCCAAGGCAGATGTGAGGGAAGGAGTGGACAGGGAGATACTCCCAGAGGGAACCCCTGGCACAGGCCAGACGGAGGTAGCACATACCTGGCCAGACCATCCAGCTGCAGGGTGGTGGTGCTGCCAGGCAGTGGGGGTGCCCGGCCGAAGAATAGGCGCAGTGGCTGTTTGGGTTGCAGGCGGCTGACCAGGCCGTCGCTGGCAGGCAGCCAGTCCAGGCTGGGAACGAGCAGCTGGCTGGGCAGCAGGCAGCACTCATCCACCAGAGCCTCATCAGGCTCACTGGCTGGGCCCTCATCCCGGCCTACAGAGCGGGAACACGCAAGAACGCCATGCTCAACAGCCTGCCCAGAATACCACCCACCTGGGGCTTTCTAGGACATCATTTACCCCAGCTGTACTCTGCCCTGCTTAGGACCCTGGGAAGGTCCTTCTCCTCTGGCCTCAGCCACCATCTTTGTGAAACAGGGACCTGCTGGCCACTCTGTTAAGAAATACTTGGTGAATACCAGGTGCCCTGACTGGACAGAGGGATGCAAGAAACAAAACCTGGCTGCCCAGACACATATAACCTGGTGGTGAATGGGTGTCTGCAACACTGACATTCAAGGATCACCCTAATGTGCCTGCACCTGTGCCTGGTGTTTGGGAAATGGTGGGAAGGAGACAGCTGTTTCTACCTGCAGTGCTTATACTCTGGTGGGGAGGCTCAGCCAGGGCTTGTGTTCTGGTGGGGAGATGGGAACAGAGGGTGAGGTGTCTCACAGCAGATCCACAGTTTGGTGAGCAGGCGGAAGAGCAGGGACATGCTGTCCTGGGTGTCTGAGGTGGCTGTGTACACCGGCAGGCAGCTGGGCTTCAGTAGGCCCCAGATACGGATGACAACCATCAGCTCCCGCAGCATGCCCAGTGAGGTGCCATCCCGCAGGAAGCTGTGACCCGGCCGCAATGGGGAGCCCTGAGAGGCAAAGGTACTTGGTGTGAGGACCAGCCATGTGTGGCCCCCAGGTCTGCTGTGGGGCAGATGGTTGTGAGGCAGGTTCCTGGGACTCAGGACTACCCCTCGTCTGAGAATCCTGGGCCCTGTCTGGGGACACTATGGGGAGTTCCTGGCATGGAGTGGGTAGAGGCCAAGGACACTGCTCAGCACTTGGATGAAGCCCGGGCGCCCAACCAGAGAATGACCCAGCTCAGACCCACAGTGCCCGGGACCTGGCTGAGGTAGATCCCAAGGAACAGGGTTGGCTGGAAATCCCTGTGACTAGTGTGCCTGAGGAGGGGGAGCAAGGCTCCTAACCTGCGGCCCTGCAGCCTAGAGTCCCACAGGGGCTGAGAGGCCTCTAGCCATGCTGATGGAGAGGGACACTGAAGCCAGTCAGGGATGTGTGCCCAGGCTGGGTGGGGTGGGGGCTAAGGGGGACAGAGTCCCCTGTCCCTCAGTGGGAAGCTGGATGGAGAGGAACAAGGCCCGGGCTGTGACTTCCAACCTGGAACACCCACAGTAGTTAGGGCTAAGGTTAGGGGTAGGAAAGTGAGGAAGAGGGGCTGTAGGAGAGGACAGATGAGGGAGAAAAGGGACTAAAGGAGAAGAAGATGGAGAAGTAGGGGTAGGATCAGGAGATGGGTCTCAGAGGGGATGGGACCAGATGTGGAAGCTTGTAGAAGGACTCCAGGCCAGGGAGGTGGGGTCTTGAGGGTCAAGACACCAGGTAAGACATTGAGGGGTAGGGCCAGAGCAGGGCTTTGAGGGGCAGACAGGAGTCATTGCCTTGAGGGGTGGGACACAAGGTAGGGCCTTCAGGAGCAGGGATAGGGAGAGGGCAGAAGAGGCCAGGGGCTGGCCTACGTACCTGGTTAGGCAGGCTGGCAAGTAGGTAGAGCACAAAATCGCCCACCCACTGTAGGAGCTGTTGCAGCGCTTGGAGCGTGTTCATGTCCAGGACAAACTCCTCTGTCTTGAGGTTGATCATGACCTTGTCAATGTCTGCAAGGAGACAAGTGCACTGTGGTCATAGGGCCTGGGACTTCATGCACAACACTGGGCATAGTGGCTGACCCCACCTGTGTCCTTCAACCTGCATGGATTGAGCTCCCCCTTACTGGGCCCTGTGGGGAGAGGACCTCTCCAATGGCCAGGGACAAACAAGCCAAGGACAGGATTGCTGCTCGGGGCTCTACATAGAGGACCAGTGCCTACCACCTGCCAGCCTGGGGCCCTCCTTATAGTTTCTATTGACTTTCAGACCTCTGCATAGCTGAGTCCCTCTGCAGGGACATCATGTTGTAGACTCATCCTCTATGGGGAACACGTGAACTCATGGAGCTCACCCAGTTTGAGGGTGAGCTCCATGAGTGAGGAATGCCTCCAATTCATTCAGCTGTAAGCACTCCTACCCCCGCCACCCAGCACCTATCAGACACCAACAGATACTTCTCAGGTAGAACTTAGAGTGATCCTACAAAAATAATCAGGAGCCAGGTGCTGGTGGCTCATGCCTGTAATCCTAGCTACTCAGGAGGCAGAGACCAGGAGGATCTTGGTTTGAAACCAGCCAGGGATAATAGTTTGGGAGAACCTATACTGAAAATACCCAACAGAAAACAAGACTGGTGGAGTGGCTCAAGAGGTAGAGCACCTGCCTAGCCAAGTGTGAGGCCCTGAATACAAACTCCAGTACTGACAAATAAATAAATAAATAAAAAGTAATAAATGTTTTAAAAGCCCAGATGCAGAGGTTGGGCATGGTGGTCTATATGTGGAAGAAGAGGCCTGGAGACAGTGGCCCATATCCTTTTTCAAGGTGGTTCTAACTTCCTCTCAAGGCCACTAGCCCATATATAAACAGTGATTTGGCACAAAGATGAGAAACCTGAATTTATTTTTCCTTTTCGCAGTGTAGGGGATGGAACCCAGGGCCTTGTACATGCCAGCAAATGTTCTACCACTGAGCTACACTCCTAGCTGGAGAAATGTGAATCTTTCGTGTTTGGTGCTGGGAATGGAACCCAGGGCCATTTATATGGTAGACATAAAGTTCTACCACATGTGCCCAGCATGACAAATCCAAATTTTTAAAAGGAAAAGGTGATGGGTGGGAAATGGTGGTGCATACCTATAACCCTGGCTATATAGCAGATGTAGGTAGGAGGATCGTGGTTTGAGGCCAGCCCAGGCAAATAGCATGAGACCTATCTGAACAATAACTAAAGTAAAAATAGATATGAGTGAAGCTCAAGTGGTATAGTGCTTGTCTGGCAAATGTGAAGCCCTGAGTTAAAAAAAAAAAAAAAAGTGTTGCCAAAAACAAAAGAAAAAGAAAAAAAAAAAAGAAGAATTTTCCTGGGCAGGGTTTGATGCAAATTTTCCACCATAAACCTGGACCCCTTCACAGATGAAACGAAAGGAGCTGGGACTCACTGGGTGTCACCCACCTACATCTGTGATCTTGGCACAGATCTCGGCCAGCCGGTCGCCAGGACTCTTGTCAGGAGTGTTGAGGAAGTGGGGACGCAGCAGGGACTTGAGTGTGGAGCTGATGGCCATAAGGAAGAGCTTCGTGTGGTAGTCGCACACGCGGGTCACCGTGCAGGGTGATAGCTTACACAGAGAGGCCTTCATGGCCAGGATGCGGGTGGAGAGGACCTGGGGGATGGCGGTGTGAGTAGGTGGCCAGACAGGCCAGGGACACCTTGCCCAGGGCTGGGAAGAGGACTTCACTAGAGTGAGGAGACAGATGGATTCATTCAAATGGGACTCTTGCTGGGTAAGCTAGTGTCAGCTGCTTAACTTCACTGGGGCTCTTTCCTTATGGCCAGAGAACCTGCCTCTGCAGCAGTGCCCTAGGAGTCACAAGTAAGCAATCACAGCTGTGAGTCTCCTCCTTTGGCTGCAAATCCTCCACTCTTCCTGTCTGCTGAGGCCTCCAAGAGTATGCCCAGCCATGTGGCACGTGTTTTGGGTGGGGTATATTCTGTGGGAACAACTGGAAAAGACACCCCTGGGCTGGAAGCACTGCTGGGATGGGTAACTCAGAGGGCCAAGTCTTCTCTGCAGGGTTTAACTATCACACGGGAAACACTCAGGATTAAGAATTAAGGGACCGGGCTTGGAGACTCATGCCCGTAACCCCAGCTATGTAAAAGGCAGAAACTGGAAGGACTGTGGTTTGAGGCTAGTCTGGGCCAAAAGTTAGCAAGATCCCATCTCAACAAACAAGCCAGGTGTGGTGGTACACGACTGCCATCCCAGCTATGAAGGAGGCATAGGTAGGAGGATCATTATTCAAGCGGGCCCAGGCAAAACATTCAAACCCCAGTCCCGAAGTGGGGGAAAAAAAAGTGCTTGCCTAGCATGTCCAAGGCCCTCGGTTTGATCCTCATGTCCTGACTCCAAATAAAACTAAGAAGGAAAAGGAGAAAAAGCAAGCCAGGTGCTGGTGATTACACACCTGTGATCATAGCTACTCAGGAGGCAGAGATCAGAAGGATCACGGTTCAAAGCCAGTCCACACATAGTTTGTGAGACCCTATTTCATAAATACCCATCACAAAAAGGGGCTGATGGAGTGGCTCAAGGTGTAGGCCCTAAGTTCAGACCCCAGTACCAGAAACAAACAAAAAATGGGGAAAAAGCACTTCAAGATGCCAGGTCCCAGGACACCTCTCACAACAGCCTCTTCTATAGCAGGTTTGAAACCTGCCTCCCAACCCTTGGCCTCATCTGCCCAGGCCGTCCCCCGGCTGGGTAAGCCCCACCTGCTGCAGGGCGGGCTTCTGTCGCATGTACTCCTCATGCAGTTTCTCCACCAGGCTCTGCACCATGCCAGGCTGCACATGCAGCAGGATGTCCCACCAGTCGTAGCCAGTCACCATGCAGTATTCGAGCAAGAAGAGCAGGTGCTGCAGTGCCAGCTTGGCCTCCAGCGGGTGCCCCAGGGAGGGAGAGATCCGCAGCATGCTGAGCTGCAAGGGAGGCAGAGCAGTGAGAAGAGGCTTGGTGGAGCTACACTGGGCCTCCAGGCCCCACAGTTGTGTGGCTCTGGTAGCCATGTCCCCTCTAAGCCTGGCACGGCTGGGGCTGGGTGTACATGAAGAGCTCAGCAGTATGGCCCACGGAAAGCAGGGCACATGGCTGCTGGAACCATGCACACAGATCACTATTCAAAACCAGCTTGAAGGCACATGTGGCATGGTGGCACAAATCCATCTGAAGCTGCAGGGCCTCTGCAAAGACCTGCATTGTCCTCTGCAGAAGGACCCACCACAGACAGGAAACATGCTAGATTGAGATGCTATGCCAGGCCAACATGCTGAGGACTGTGTAGCCATGGGAAGGGGCTGTTTTCTGCAGCACTGGAATGCAGGAGCACATGTATGCATGTGTGCTGCTCTCCCTTTCTGCAGTTAAAGGACTAATTTCTCTGGGATCCAGGCAAAGCATTCCCAGGCCTCTCTTCTGTGGTATGCCAGACTCATATGTGATGCCACAAGTGATGCTGAGAATTCCCATGATGTGGTATGTCCACCCTCGGCTCCCAGCCCTTGATGCTCCATGCCAGGCCAGGGTCTTTTCCCACCATGCTGTGGGCCAGAAGTTAGAATCACCAATAGAGCAGGGAAGTGCTCGTACCACCTGCCTTCCACTGGCCCCAGCTCCTCTCAGGAATCACAACAGTCCAGCTCTGTCATGGAGAATGGCACTTACCTTCCCGTGGTTGTCAATGCCCACGAGGGCCAGAGAAGTCCAGGACAGCTGCATGGCCTTAAAGTGGATGGCAGGGCCTGTGGTCCGAGGGCGCTTGATAGCGGGCTCATCTGCAGAGCGTGGGGCTGAGGAACTATAGAAGACTGCCATGGTCTGCAGCGACAGCCGGTGCGCAATGTGCACACTGCCATCATGGAACGCCAGGGCCAACCCTGGGGAATACCATGGGGGTTAGGGTATGAGAAGGACTGGACATCCCCGTCTGCACTATGGAAGAGCAGCCACTGGGACAGGTGTGAGATGTCCCAGCACCTGCTCTCCCTACTCCCTTACTAACAAGACCAGGAGAATCAAGGGGCCTTGGACTACACCCCAGGGTCCCTTGCAAGCAGTAAGTCTGGACTGACATGAGCTGATGGGCACCTACAGGGGACGGAGGAAAGGCATTCCTGGTGGAGGGGACTTGGGAGCCTCTATACTTCCCAGGAGTCAGACACAAGGGTCTCATGGCAGGAGGGGGATCAAAGAGATCAAGAGAGGCTGAGTAGCTTAAGGGCCAGGGACTCCTGGAGCCCCAAAACGAGTCATCTATGGGTGATGGTAGGGTCAGGGGCGACTACTAGCTGCCACCAACACTTCCAGTTGTCCCAAAAAACCAAGTAATTGGCTAACAGCCATGCTTTTCACTTAAGGCGAATAGGCTCATGACAGAACAGAATAACAAGGGTACTTGGAAATGAGGTTGAACAATGAAATAAAGGGTTTTCAAGGCAGACACCATACCTACCTTTCCCTCTGTGGGCTCCAAATAAAGGCCCTAGCCTTGGGTGAACACTGAGAAATGTTTTCTAGCAAATGGGAGCACTGGGGAAGAGATGGTCTGAACTGTGTAAGACACATCCCTGCCTTACAGCTGAGCACATGGGCTTAGTATTGGTAGCCTCTCTGGAAAAAGATTTTGCCCCACATTTCTGACCTCCTCCTTGTTGATCTATAACAGCTTTTTATATATTAAGGAGTGTGATTTTTTTGTCAGCAGCCTCACAGGCCCCTGGGTTCCTCAGATCCTGAAAGTGGGGTTGCCTCCTTACAGGCACCGACTTCCTTTGGTCCTTAGAGCCCACCTCTTGGCTCATACCACAGAGGGCCACACTGGCAGTTCCTGAGACAACGTACCGAGGCCAGGGTAGAACTGGGTGTCACTGGCCACCTTGAGATCGGTGTTGGTGAGTGAGATAGGCAGCTTGGGCAGCGCCACAGCTGACACACGGTCCAGATCGTTGGTGGCTGACAGTATCCGCCATTTGAGGATCATGGGCTGTTTGTCACCAACTAGCACATTGTCATGTAGGAAACACAGGGGAAATGGGAAGAGGGTCAGACTGAAAGGTGTTCATCTGGCTGGGCCCAGTGCCCCATCTTCCCTTCCTTGACCCAGGAAGAGGACCGTGGCCTGGCTAATCACAGCACTCTAGCTCCACAGCCAATGGGATCAGGTGAGCCCAGGACCCAGGAAAGCCAATGACATTCAGTCTGGAATTTTTTGCAAACCAGGAGGGTGAGAGCTGGTGGTGGACACTAACCTATTCCCTCCATGGAGCCAATGCTTAACAACAGCAGGCTACCCCCATACCTTAAAGCCATGAAACTGGAATCCCTGCTTGCCCTTGGCCAGCTTCAGTCAGATTTTTTTTTTTTTTTTTTGCCATCTAGAAGTCCTGGGTGGAAACCCCACCTACCAAAGAGTCTATACAGGTCTGTGACCTGGCTGTGGATGCCCCCACCCTCATTGTGATATGGTCCACAAGAGGAAGGAACATGCACTTGCCCAAAGAGGTCAAAGGTCGCCAAAGTGATGTAGCTGGGACACAAAAAAAACAGGGGTCTGGCAGAGACAGGGTTACACCTTGAGGGGCCATCTAGACTCTATACACAGGGCTTGTGTGCAGCTCAGTGGTGAATGCATGCCTGGCACATGGAGACCCTGGGTTTACCCCGGCATCAGAAAAAAACAAACAAAAAACTTGACAGCCAGAGTGGCTGTGATGGCCAGACAGAGCAGATGGGTTGCCTGCCCTATGGACATTAGTTTCTCATGGAAAACAAAAATAGACAATAGTAGCGAGTGGTGGTGCTGACAAGGCCATACAAAGCCAGTGTCCAGACATTTACCACAGCAATTTGTAGGTCAATGAGCGTTAGGCTTTGAGGGTAGGGCCTACCTGCTGTGTTAGGAGAGCTGGGTTTGAACCCCATGCACCTGTCCCAGGCCAGTCCAGAAGCAGGGAGTCAGTAGCTCCACTGCACAGGCTCTGTGCAGCTGCTGGGGAATGAAGGACAGATGAAACCCCAGTGCAGCCATGGGATGGCATCAGTGAGTATACATGTGCTGGTGACTCACAGTCGGCAGGAGGGCAGCTGTGACCCATTTCACACTGAATCACTTCACTGGCCTCAATGGGCAGTTTATGTAACCACCCTGCAGGCCGCGGAGCCATAAGGGGCCTCTTGACATGGCTTCATTAGTGGCTTCCGATTCAGCTCCTGAATGCCTGGCCACTCCAGGTTCCATTAGCGCTAATCGGCAGAAGGCGTGCCAGCTTCCATCTGCCACAGAACATCTCTGCTGGCAGTGAAGTGGTGGGTGGGAGCAGTCCCCAGCCTCAGTGAGCCTGGCTTGCAAGCCAGTGGCTCTAAGGGTTAGGGTTGGGGCTGGGGAGGGAGTTGTTGGCCTGGGAGTCCTCAGAAGGCTACGGGTAAGGTGCTGCTGGAGAGATGGGGGAGGGGTGGAGGAGTCTTTGGGAAAGTCAGTGAATCCCTCTGAGCCTTGGGTTCCTCTCAAAACAGGGTATCTAGAAGAGTCCATGGCTTTTAGGAACAAGTGCCTCCCTGTGGCTATGTGCCTGTGCACACTGCCAACCTACTCTGTCACTAGCTCACCACTTGCTCAGCCTGCTTCTGCCCACTGGTCTCCTACCCCAGGACCTTTGCACTAGCTACTCCACTGACCAGAGGCCTACTCCTTGCCTGATGGGTGACTGGGGTGAGAAACACAGCCTCTCTGAGCCTCTGTTTCTCCCTCTCCCAGTAGGCCAGGATGGTAAGAGTCTCCTTGGAGTACAAAGAACAAATAAATACACATAAGTTAAAAAAAACAGGTGCCCAGGGCTGGGGGTGGCTAGTGGAGAGTGCCTGCCTAGCATGCACAAGGCTCTGGGTTCTCTCCAGCACCAAAAACCCCTTAGCACCCCCCCAGAGGGTGGGCAGAGCTCCTGCAGCTGAAGGAAGACTCACCCACAGGAGAGATCTGGTGGAAAATGTTGTTCACTGGGAGTCCCTCCTTCCGCAAGGACCAGCACTCCACAATGCTGCTTGTCTGGCTGGATGCACACAGGAGTACCTGAGGGGCAGCTTGGTGAGGATGAAGACTCACACCCCAGCTCCAAGCTCTCACACCGGCCTATCTCAGTACAGCCGCAAGACCCCACTTCACAGGCCCACCCACCACAGATTCCAGTCAGGTCCATGCAGTGCACTCATGGCACCCTCCAGTGACGGGCTGCACAGGATGGCTGACATCAGCCTGGACAACCCTTGCCTAGTGAGAAAGCTGGGGTGAGGCTGGGGTGGGAAACATACACGACTCCTGAATGCACGTGAAACCCAGGTGACCTGGAGGGTGGTGAACAGCCGCAAACACAGCCTGTTCTGATCCTGGTCCCTGTGGATGTGTCACCTCCCAGGGCAGAAGGGACTCAGTGAATGGAATCAAGCTAAGGACCCTGAACTAGGAATTATTCTGGATCATCTGGGCCCAGAGTCAGCACAGGGTCCTCATGAGAGGCAGACAAAAGGGTCAGAGGCAGACAGATTGGGAGACGCTGTGCTACTACTCTGAGGAAGGACGAAGGGGCCTTGAGCTGAGGGATGCTGGGCCTCTAGAAGCCTGGACAGGGGGAACACAGATCCTCCCTGGAGCTGTGGGGAGGGAGCTACACTGGCCCACCTGAACTGTAGTCCAGGGGGAACTGTGTGAAGCTTTAGATACCAGAAGAAGAGATACAAGGCTTGCACTGGTTTCAGCAGCTCACCTGCTCTGACATGTCACGGGCCAGGAACTTGAGGTGGGTGATGGCGGGGAACTTGTCCTTGCGGTTGAGGTCGGTGGTGCAGCGCATGAAGAGTGAAGGCAGGATCTCTGTGTCAATCCTGCACTTCTCACTGACCACACTCACGCACACCTTGTAGAACTGCACAGGTGACATGCTGCTGCCATCTGCGGTGGCCACCACGATGTTACCGCCACCCGTGAATGCAATGTCAGCCAGGGCTACACGCCCACGCAGCCGGCACAGGCTCTCAGTTGATGTCAGCACCTGCCCACTGGGCTTGAGGAGGGACACGGTGACCAGGCCACTGACTGTAACCGCAATCCAGCCCTCCATTGGCTTGCCACCAAACAGTGTGAGTGATGGCGAGAACTTGACTCGGGAGAACTTCTCCCCGAAGCTGGAGGCACCTGACTGCAGAAAGAAGGGAGTGAGAGGCCAGCTCAGCCTTTTGGGGTCTGTTTCTATAACCCAGAGCTGCATCCATTGCCCAGAGGAACAATGGGGACAGAAATAGTGAGAGCGTGGACCTGAGCTCAGACACCTCATCACTGGAACACTGTGATGTGGGCTTCTCTGACCAGCAGTCTCCTCTTCTGTAAGTGCAAGGATAGACATTTCTGCCTCACAGGACCATGGTAAGGATTAAACAGCAGAAGCTCACAGCTTTTTCTGTAAAAACCAGAAACTTGGTAGTTTCAGTTTTCCTTCATGGTGTGGAGGCAGCTGGGAAGTACATAGTAGGTACACAAACAGGTATGGCTGAGGGCCACTAAATGTCATTTCCAAGGACAAGTGAGGGCTGTCTGGCCCCAGAGTTGCACTTAGCAGAAACCTGGAGTGTTGCAGGAGCACCAGCTATGCCCCTGGTCACTGTCTGTGTTTTCAAATTGGGTTTATTTATTTTTTTGGTGGGTCTGGAGTTTGAACTCAGGGCTTTGTGCTTCAAAGCAGGCCCACTACCGTTCAAGCCACACTTCTAGTCCTCAAACTGGGTTTATTAAGGTGTAATTTATACACCAAATCCACCTTTTTTGGTTTTGTGTTTGAGATAGGGTCTTGCCATGTATCCCAGGCTGGCCTAACTCACCATCCTCCTGACTCTGCCTCTTGAGTGCAGGGATCACAAATAGGCACCACAACGCCTGACTCCAAAATTCATCTTTTTTAAGGATCATGGTTCCATAAATCTTAAACATGCTGTCATAGAAACCGAGACAATGAAGACAGATCATTATTGCCTTTGGGGGCCCTAGTGATCTAATAGGTCGATCTACTCTGGGCTCAGTCTCTGCTAGCCATGGACCTCACATCTGACCCTAGTCTTGCTTTTTTCTGCAATGTCACATGAAGGTATGATACATGACCCTCTTTTTTTCTATTTTGTGGTGCTGGGGATGAACCCAAGGCAAGTGCTCTACTACCTGAGCCATACCCCAGCCCAACCTGTGCCCTCTGTGTCTGACTTCTCCCTGGTCCCAATGCTATGGGCTTCCCTGTACTGTTTAGGGAACATGGAGCCATGTGGGAACAGAACGGGTGCATACGTCTCCCTAACTGCTGGGACAACGTGGAGTGTACCAGGCCTGCCACAGAACTCCGTGACCAGACTTCATGGAGGGCAGGGCCTGTGGCTGAGCTGATTCACAGCCCAGATGACCCTAGCAGTGGAGGTGGGGACACTCAGGCATCTGGATGGCCCTACTGCAATTTTGGGAAAAACTAGAACTGATTAAATGACCACACAAAAAAGATGGTGGCAGCATTGTTGGAACACCAGCAGCATGGAATTCTCCAGAAGCCAGCAGAGGAATGGGCTGAAGGGGAAGGGCCTGGACACCTGTGGCTGCTGAGGACGCTTAGGGGTAGGCAGGTTCTCAGAGGGCTCTCAGCGGCCCCAGCTCTGCTCAGGGACAATGTTATGGCACATGTCTCTCTGGCCTCCTTGTTTATTATAATTGGGTACTATACAAGAATTCCAAGAGGACAGCTAGCCACGTGGCACACTTACACAGGCGTGCTAGCAAACATCCCTACTTGTCCACTTGTGTGACTCCCTGACTTCTGACCCCAGGCACTGCCTATGTGGCTGCTGGAATGGGGCTCTTTCCTGGCAGGCAGGAGATCTGGGCCCAGTGGCCCTGGAGGCTGCTTGAGTGTGTGTGAGTCAGGATGGCCTGAGGCTGGAAGGCTGGCCCTGCCAGGCCCGACCACAGCATTGGCAGCTGGGTCAGCTGAAGACTTGGCCTAGATGGTGGGGCCATGTTCCTGAGCACGCCAGAGTAGCCACTCCAGGTGGATCAGGGGGCCTGACTGGACTAGATAGAGGCTTAAGGACAGACTTGAAGGGAAGCACTGGGGCAGCTGGTGCATCTGGCCTCCCCCATGTTACCAAGGAGCCTAGGAACAAAATCCAGCTCAAGCCTGGCGCCAGTGGCTCACACCTATAATCCTAGCTACTATGAAGGCAAAGATCAGGAAGATCATGGTTCAAAGTCAGCCTGGGCAAATAGTTCTTGAGACCCTATCTTGAAAATACTCAACATAAAACAGGGCTGGTGGAATGGCTCAAGTGGTAAGAGTGCCTGCCCAGCAAGCATGAGGCTCTGAGGTCAAACCCAGTACCACAAAAAAAAAAAAAAAAAAAACATACCAAAGGTCAGGTGGCAAAGGAAGTGGTAAGAGTGGCTACCAAGGGGACAAAGCCAGGCAGGCATCTGAGGTCCACACTACACACTTCTGTCTGGTTTAAAGGTTCTGTGTGCAACTGAGTTAAATGAGAACATTTGCCTTTTATAACTTAAAAACTAAGCACGTTTGAACAGTAAAAGGAGAGAGGCTCTGGAACACATTACAACATGGAGGAACCTTGAAGGCACAGTGCTCAATGAGAAAATCAGACACAAAAGGCCCCACAGCATGTAATAAGAAACATCCAGAACAAGTGAATATAGAGACAGGAAGTGGACTCGTGGGTGCCAGGAGCTGGTGAGGGGATGGTGTGACTGCTTATGGGGATGGGGTTTCCTTTTGGAGTGATGGAGCATTCTGGAACTAAATAGATATCTGTGAGTGTGCTAAAAACCACTGGACAGTATACTTTAGGTAAGTTTTATGATACGTGAATGAATCTCAATAAAACCATTATCAAAGCAAGACAAGGCTGGGGAGAGCTCAGTGGTGAGGACTTGACCAACATGCACAAGGTTCATCCCCAGCACCACACACACGAATAAAAAAGAAGGCTGCAGGGGGGAATGTCCTTTAAAGGTCCACTGTGGCCACATGCTCACAAAGCTGCCCCAGAAACACAGGCTGGGGGGAGTGAGAAGCAGAGAAAATTCCCACCACATAGCAGGGTGCACAGGGAGGCAGATGAGCCCAGGGCTTGGGGCAGTCTCAGAGTCTGATTCAGCCATGCCTTCTCTCATCCTCCCCACATAACCCATCACTGAGGAAACTGACATCAGATGCCTGACGTCTTGGGGTCTGAGCTCAGGCATCACCTGACCCTGGTAGCCCCCACTCCTAAATGGCTGAGTCATGGAATACAGAGAGGAATTCTGAGATATTATTGAGTCGAAGTGTGGGCTGGGTTCTTAGGACAGAAGCTGCCAGTTTAAAAGCTGCTTGTTAAAGATAGCTGCTGTTTTTAACACAGGAGGTTCCCTGAGGACAGCAGCCAAATAGCAGTTAAACTGATGATTCCTTGAGGATGGTGACCATCAGTTAAATGGGTGCCTCACTGAGGTCAAAGACCACCAGTTAAATGTATGGCTCATGAGGACTGCATTCATCAGTTAACAGGTAACCCACTGAAAACACAGGTGCTGACTGGCAGCTGGGTTACAGGTGTGAGCTTGGGCCTAGGGCTCAAAAAAACCAGAGGATGCTGATGGTGGAGAGGAAGAGAGAGACTGCCAGATGGGTGTGCAGATGACAAAATTCCATCCACTTTGCCTGTTTACTCAGGTGGGACACTCACCTTTTCCACATGCAGTGCCAGCTTCACACCATTGTGTAGCCAGGACAGGGCCACAATGGGGTCCCCCTCTACCAAGCTGCCCACTGAGCTCTCCCAGCTGTTGGCCAGATGGTCTGCCATGCTCCAGCACTTGATCTGCCCATCAGCATCAGCTGACAGGAGCCGGGAGCCTGTGGGACCAAGCAGGGTCATAAGCTCTCTAGCAATGGCCAGGGGCAGCTGCCCACAGAATGTCAAAAATCTGAGAGGGGCTGGCCCAGGGGAGAGGTCATAGGTTGAGCAGTTGTGGGTCAGAAGGCACACCAGAAAATGACCCTGAACACACAGAATAGTTATGACGTGAGGCACAGGTCAAGGCTCTCATCCCAGATCTGGACTTGGAACTAACAGGAAAGGTAATGCATGCTGCTTTGAGATTGAGAGTCAAAGACGAGCACCACCACTTCCCAAGCCAGTGGGACCCAGCCCCTCACCTGACTGATCCCACTCGAGGCAGGTGATGGCCTCGCTGTGCTCCGAGTTGATGGAGTGCACATCCCAGGGGTGCTCTGTGTCCAGGATGTGGATCATTCGAGTCAGGTCTGATGGGGACAGGCATGGTCAGCAAGGCCTGGCACACGGCCTCCAGACAGTGACACAGTCTGCAGAGCCCAATGACCCTGATAAGGTCATGGGGCTGCTGTCAACCATGTGAAGTGTGCTGCCAGTGTGACTGTGACCGCATACAGTTTAAAGAAAGACACAGAAGTTGGACTAGAAGTGACCCCGACAAGCTCACAGTGGGCGTCAGTCTGCTCTAGGTCACGGTGGCCCTTCTCTGACTTTCTAATTCTGTACTTCTCTAATTCTCTCTAACAAGCACACATTACCAGGACAATGAAGAGCCTGCATGGCCACCACATGCCTCAGAGGCTTTCAGGAAAGCTAAATCACCACACACTCACTCTGAAAATCTGGGGCATGCACATCCACACGCCTTTACTAACCTCACTCAAGCCCCGTCCACCTGCGTGGGTCTGATCCCTGAATCACCTGAAACCAGGGAGGGAGGGACTGGCCCTTGCACCCTGGAGGTGGGGCAGGGCAGGCAGCTTTAGGGCTCCCAGTCAGGTCTGACAGTCCCAGATTGGGTGGCATGCCCAGCACCAACGGGGGTTAGGGGACACACCCTGGTCATCGTTGCGGAGATCTGTAGTAAAGGCAATGAGGTTGCGGCAGGACCAGGCACAGGCCAGGGGCACCGATGGGCAGTAGGTGATCTTTGGCCATTTCTCCCATTCACATACATAGGCCAGGTCCATCATGCCCACCGCGCTGAGGACGGTCCCTGGTTCCTGTGGGATGGAAGTGTGGCTCATCATCAATGTCAACTGAGTCTGCAGCAGGCCAAGCACTGTTGGGGATGTTTCCACATGTGGAGGTGGGAAGTCTACAGTTCTGAGTATTTTTTTTTTGTTTTTTTGATGGTACTGGGGATTGAACTATAGGCCTTTGAACCACAACCCCTGTCCTTTTGCTTTTAGTTTGTATTTCAGACAGGGTCTTGCATGTCACCCTACTTGGCTTGTTTTGTAGACAGAGACGAACTTTGCCTGGTCCAGCCTCAAACTGAAATCCTCCTGATTCCGCCTCCCAAGTAGTTGGGGATTATAGATATGCATCACTAGACCCAGGTTTCGGCTGCAGTTTTTTTTTTGTGGTACTGGGGCTTGAACTCAGGGCCTACACCTTGAGCCACTCCACCAGCCCTTTTTGGTAATGGGCTTTTTTTGAGATAGGGTCTCACAGACTATTTGCCTGGACTGGCTTCAAACCACTATCCTCCTGGTCTCTGCCTCCTGAGTGGCTAGGATTACAGGTGTGAGCCACCAGAATCTGGCCTGGGCTTCAGTTTTAATGAGAGTCAGGATGGATGGAGAGGCTCAGACGGTGAAGAGTGCCTGCCTAGCAGGTGTGAGGCCCTGAGTTCAAACTCTAGTGCCACCAAAAAAAAAAAAAAAAAAAAAAATGGAGAGCCAGTATGGCTTCATGGGGAGGCTGATGAAGCCTGCAGACATCTGGAGGAAGAGTGTTGAGGCTGAGGGGACAGCCAGTGCAAAGGCCCAGGGGCTGAAGCAGAGTGAGGGCGGAAAGTGAGGAAAGGGAGCCAGGAGCACTGTGACTTATTTAGGTTTCAACAGTCCCCTCTGACTAGGCTGGCTAGGGACAGCCAGGGGCATGTGGAAGTGACTGCTGGACCAGGTGAGCAAGGATGAGGGGCTCCTGGTCTATTCTGAAGAAAGAGATGTAGATATACAACACGAGGGTGGTGCCTCCGGTGGTCAAGATTGTGGTGAGGCTCCAGAGACAGATGTGGCGTGGGCCTTTCACCATTACAAAGCCCAAAGAGGACGGAATCACCTTCAGCCCCATTTCTCAAATCATTACCCCCTGGCTCCTGTTTTTTCAAGTCCTGCTCCGGGCCACCAAGCTGCACCCACAAGTCCCTTTAAGGGTCTTTCAGTCAGTCCAGCCCCCACACCTTTTGCTTTCCGGACCCCGCAGCAAGTTACGAGCGCTGGCCCTGCCCTAAACTGTCAGGCTGCACCCCAGAGACCCCATACAACCTCTAGGCCAGGGCCCCAAGCCCTGTAGTCCTGGCCCCAACTTCCTTAGTTCTATAGGTTCCGCCCAAGACAGACCACGATCCTCAGGCCCCGCCCCTGACTTACCCTACTCCCGCCAGCCTCAGGCTTCACTCCGCATTCCGGACCTAGGCCCCGCCCCTAGCTCGCGGGGCCGCGTTCCCAGCAACCTTTGCTTCCAAGCCCTCCCTCTGACCCCACAGGTCCCGCCCCTAGGCCCACCCGGTCTCTAGATCTTCCACGTTCCGAGACGCTCCCCGAGGCCGTGGACGCCGTCCGGAGGCCTGTCGACCCCGCCGGGATTGTCGCAGCTCCGCACTCACCTGGCCGGCCCGTGAACTCAGTCGAGCAGGCGGCCGCGGCCCACACTCGCCGTAACGCCCCGGATCCGGCGCCGCCATCTTCTCGGGACGAACGAGTTTCCTGGGCGCGCTGGCCGTTTCGCAGAGACTTCTGGGACCGCAGCGGCTCCGGCTCCGCCCCGCCTCCGAGCTTATTTGCATAGACAAATTTCCATCAACCATCACTGTAGCTATAATCAATAAAAAGAAAGTTTGTGAGCTCTGGTTAATAACTATATTGGTTACATGACATATGGCACTAATGTTTAAAAAGGTGTTACTAAACGTTTAAGAAAAGTCACCCTTAGTGAAAAGAAATTTGTTCCTAGGACTATAAGTACCCAATGGCTCAAACTTCCACCTGTGCTCGCTTCGGCAGCACATATACTAAAATTGGAACGATACAGAGAAGATTAGCATGGCCCCTGCGCAAGGATGACACGCAAATTCGTGAAGCGTTCCATATTTTTGTTTCCTAATGTTCAAGGGAAGGAAATTGGCTCAGAAAAACAACCACACGAACTTTCTCTACTCAACATCAGTTTTTAAACTTTTTTTTTTTCCTTCTGTATACTGGGGCTTGAACTCAGGGCCTTCACCTTGAGCCACCTAGAGTCTTGCTAAATTCGCTAAGTATTTGCCTGGGCTGGTTTTGAACCGCTGTCCTACTGATCTCTGCCTTCTGTGTAGCGAATCCAGAATTTAGCTTCTAACACAAGGTCCCAGTGGAAGGAGAAATGACTGATTATAAGGTGGGTGGCTGGGAGCATCTTATACTTCCGGAGCACAAGGGACCATGGACGTGCCCAAAAATAAACCAGTTTCTTGGGCTAGGACTAGGACTCAAGTGATAAGAGCGCCTAGTAAGCGTGAAGCCCTGAGTTCAAATCCAGTACCAGTAAATAAAAATAAATATAAACCTGTCTCTGGTTTCTTCAAAGCCTAGAGGGGCCAGAGCTGGGCCAATTTGAGCCAGAAAATTGGATTATAAACCGAAGTAGAAAGCAAATTATTCTGGAGTCATGAGTGGTTAAATGAGTTGTACAGATGGGAGGAGATACTTTCCAGTCAAACATCGAGAGATGTTTGGAAACACACCCTACTGCTACCTGGGGAGAACAGCAGCAAAGGAGCAGAGAAGCAGGGCAAGCAGCGTGATGGTGGCATTGATAGCAGTTGGCCTAAACGGGATGAGACTTCTGGTCTTGCAACCCCAAATCCAATCCTTAGCAGAACACCAGGCAGACCACAACAGAGGTCATTCAGCAGCATCAGAAACTGGGGGCATCTGAGCAGAGTGGACATGCACAGGAGTGGACATGGCATGAGGGATGTTGGGCAGGTGTTAATGGAGGGAATTGAAAAAAAGTGTGGGCTTCACCTACTAAGGAAGCATCCATGCTGTTGACTACTTATTCAACAGTTGTAGCAGTTTGTGCTAACATGAGATTTTTTTTCTTTTTTTTTGGTGGCCCTAAGGTTTGAACTCAGACTTTATGCTTGGCTGTGCCACTTGAGCCACATCTCCAGTCCTTTTTGCTGTGGTTATTTTGAAGGTAGGGTCTCACTTTTTGCCCAACCAGGCCTGGACCATGATTCTGTTTTAAGCTTCCTGCAGTAACTAGAATGATAGGCGTGAAGTACCACGCCCAGCTATGAGTTTGAGATAAGGTCCCCCAAACTTTTGTGTCCTCAAACCTCCCAATCTCAGTCTCCCAAGTAGCTAGGATTACAGATATGGGTCATCAGCACCCAGCTTGATTTTCTAATAGTCTCCTGAGTGGGTTTCCTATCAATACCTCTAGAGTAGCTGGGATTACAGGCACCCACAACCAGTGGGTCATTTATTCCCACCTCCTGAACTCACATAGGGAAACTGAGGCACAGAAGTTAAATGATGTTATGGGCTGAATTGGGTCCCCCCAAAAGAGATACACTGAAGCCCTATCCCCATTTCTCAGTGTGACCTTTTCAGTTTCTACAGAGGTGATCAAGTTAAAAGGTGGCAGTTAGGGTGGCTAGCTACAATCCAATAGGACTCATGTCCTTTTTAAAAGGGAATATTTGACACTGAGACATATACACAGAAGAGACAACATGAAGATACACTGGGAGATGGTTGTGTGATGATAGAGTCAAGAGACTAGGGTGACATGGTCCAGGAACAACTGGAGCTCCCAACGCTGGCAGAGGCAGGAAAGGCCTTCACGGAGCGTGGGAGGGAGCATGGCCTTCATGCCTGGGCTCCAGATGAGAGGATGAGTTCCTATGGCTTTGGGCCATCCTGTGCATGGCTCTTTGTTACCCCAAGATGGTCACAAAGCATAAAAGTGAGTCACACATTTGAACCTGGGCCAGCAGGACAACATGCCAGAGTGGCGCAGCATTAATGCTTAGCAGTGAACATCTTCTGCATCTTTGGTTGTGGTGCTCATTGTGAAGCCTCATCCCCAGGCCCACTGGGTCCCCAGCCAACCCAAACACAAGCCACACTGCCTGAGGCCAGAGCACCAGGGGTTTATTAAACACTCCCTTTCCCCCAAGCAAGTCAAGCACACTGGAGGGGAGGGAGGAGAGGAGACAGCAAGGCCTGCTTTCCACAGGGGCCCCCTGCATGGTGATCAGAGCCAGGCAGGAGGGCAGAGGGGACATGAAGGGGGCATGGAAGGGATGGGGTAACAGAGGTCAGAGGCTTCTGGCTGGAAGTCCTGGATCCCCAGTAGAAAGGGAGGGAACAAGGGTAGGGGATGATGTGGAGAGCAGGTGGGGGGGCATGACACACGCATAACAAAAAAGCATAAAACCAGCCCTTGAGATGAAGCTTGCCTGGGTTGTGGGCCCACGCATGCACACACACACAAACACACAAGACAAAATGCGTCTGGGGTAAGGGGCAGCGTCTCAGCGACATCAGCCCCATCACAGCTAAAAACCTAGGGGCAGGGCGTGGAATCAAGCAAGGGCTGCGATAAAGCCCCACCATTTGCCATCTGGGGCAAGTTTTTTTGGTTTTTCTCTTTAAAATGGAAATTTAAAAATCTACAACAAATCATGCTAAATTCATTAAAAGTGATAAAACTCAGATTCTCCCTCTTTGCCTGGGCCAAAAAACCTAAACAATGAAGAAACATGGAAGTCGCCCAGGTCAGCTCTCTTCACCCAAATACAAGTCCCAGGGTGGAGAGCGACATACAGGGCTGGGATAGTCTAGATAGCCCTAGTTGCCGACATGATCTGTGAGAGCTGGGCAGGGAAGGGATGGGTAAGAGTCACCCAAAGGGTTTCCAAGGACAAATTCTAAAAATATTGAAGGTATGTTAGCAGGTCTTGGAGCTGGGTGAGGTGGCAGGCGGGGCACCAGGGGCCGTCATCAGTGCTGCTCCAGGTAGGCAGACAGGAGCAGCCCTGGTGGCAGGAAGTCCAGGTGCCGGTTGCTGACCTTCATCTGCCGCCGGCCCTCCAGGTCAGCACCTGTAGGAGAAGGTAGGTGAGCAAAAACTAAAGGAATTGCGGGGGGGGGGAGGCATACTGCTGCAAGCTGGTGCTCTGGGTGTGGCTGGTAATAACCCCTAGACCCCGCACGGACACACAAGGAAAACTGAGGTCCCCATACTGTCAGTTTTGTGACCCATTTGTTCTCTGTGATGATGCTGTGACCAGTCCCTTGGTGGAGGCAGGGATGCTGAGACCCGTGGCCCAAGGCCAAGTTGATAGTCATATGCCTAATCAAGTATCCAGGTTCCTCCCAGGTCTCCCTGCCTGGCAGAAGTTGCCTCTCAGGATCTCCTCTGCTCCCTCTAAAAGCAGCACCAGGTGGGCCCACTGGAGCTCACTCCCACCTCCCAGCCTTAGCCTCCACTGTTCCCCCTGCCCGGAAACCCACCACCCTACTCCCCATCATGCTCTCCCTCCCTGTATCCAGGTTGTAGTTTGACCCCTGAAGAGAAGCCCCCACCCACCAAGCCCCTGTTGTCAGTCTGTGGGAAGAAAGGCAAGCGTGGGACTGCATATCCCATAGAAAGAACAGGGAAGGGAGGAACCGTCCTGGGGTTGCCACAGCAACCATCTCCTTGGCAACTCCAGGCAGGAGGCAGAGACAGGTGTGGGAAGCAAGGACCAGCTGGGGCACCTGGGGCCAGCAGGGGCCAGTGAATAACACACTGTGCGTGATGGGGGGTCGTGTCCTGAGAGCACCCCACACTGTAGAAGTAGGGGCACAGGGCATGGGAGAACCTATTTGTGGTGCCGGGGATGGAGCCTAACTGCTAAACTTCCTGACAGTGAGGATCCTCACCTCACCTCTGGTCTGTGAGTCCCTCAAACATGGGCTTCATCATCCCACCCAGGCCCCTCCCCCAGCCCTGGATCCGTGGATTGAGGGGTGTCTTTCCACTTGTCCAGCTGTCTGCAATGTCACCTAGCATTAGGCTGGCCACACAGGGTGCTTCCGATGAATCAAATGCAGACCCACAGCCATTCCAGGAACTCTTTCCACACACTGCCTCCCCACCCCCCCAGAAGTCAGACCCTGTAGGACCCTGGCCTCTACTTCCCGGGGTCAAGTTGGCCAGCAGGGCCACCAGGCACTTACTGGCTGAGATGAGGTCCATGTACTGACAGACAGCATGGAGCAGGAGCCTCTCGAAGCTGTGGAGGAACACATGTAAGTGGCAGAGACAGGAGCAGTCATGGTGGGGGAGGAGCTTGCTGTCCCCATCTCTACTACCTGTTATCCAGCATGGCCGTGTACACAGCCTGGGGAGACACGGAAAAGAACCTCAACAGGCGCTCCTCCCAGCTCTCCAGTGTTTCCTGTGGAAGACAAGCACCCATGGGTCAGGCTACTATGGGACCCCACTAGCTGTCCTAGCCCTGATGGCCCGAGGCAGTCTCTGGAGCCCAAGTCCTAATGTTATCACTGATCCACCCCCAAAAGCCTACCTATCTATCTACAAAGATACTAGGAGCTTAGACATCTGTACAGCATGTCCAGTCTACTGAACTCCTACTCACCCTGCAGTGCCCACCTTCATTGTTCCTGCTCCTCCTACTTGCAGTGAGAGCCCTTGCCCAGCTGTGGTGCCCGCACACTGATCCCCCCGGTCTGTATGCCACTGTCACCCACCACATGACCTGGGCAACTGCCTCCCTTCATCCTTCCCCCAAGTGAGAACCCGTGGCAAGGAAAAGGACCATCAAGACCAGGCTGGTCATGAGCGAGGCCTGGTATTCACCATGGGGATGCGGCTCCGCTTTAGCACGGCTCGCAGACGGCGGCTGATGCGCTGGAAGCACTCACGGGGTGTGTAGGCTGGGTCCTCTGCAAGAGCACAGGGTAGGGGCAGCTGTGATGCCATCAGTCAAGCCCCACCTACCAAACCACCCACTCCAGTCTCCATCTGCTGTGCCCTGACCCAGGCTGTCTGTCGCCCATGCCCAGCCTCTCCCACATAGGCCCACTGTGTGTACTGTGGCCCTGCCCCAGGCCAGGCCCCACCTCTCCGCTGGTCCTCCCCACGGCCGGGCCCCCTCCTTCGAGCCTTGGTCTGGCCTTCGTTTTCCAGGTAGCGGAGCACACGCTCCTGCTCTTCCCCAGAGCGGTTCATGAAGTCATTCCAGACCTGGAAGACAGGGAGGCAGGCTTGTGAATCTCTGGGCTTCAGTTTCCCCACTTGGTAAATGGACACAGAAAGCTACCAAAGATACGGAGGCACTCTTGTGGACACCCTTGCCAACTGGACCTCCTAAGAACATGGAGTCTGGGCTGGCATGGTAGGGGATATGGTAGAGTGCTGGCCTAGCAAGTGTGAGACCCTGAGTTCAAACCCCAGTACTACCAAAAACACAAACTAAAACTTGAGGATGTGTGTGGGACTGACCTGGGTGCTGGGAAAGTAGAGCCGGGACATTTTTAGATGCCCTGGGTGGGGAGTCACGCGGGTCAAGTGTATAATTCTGGTGTGACCTGCAGATGGATCCCAGCACTGGAAGCTTCTAGAGGAATGGAGACTCTGCCTATGCTGCACCCCCTGAGGGAGATGGGAGTGGCCAGGTGCAGGTGGTTTACGCCTGTAATCCTAGCTACTTGGGAGGCAGAGATTAGGAGGATCATAGTTTCAAGCCAAGTCCCAAGGCAAATAGAGAGACCCTATCTCAAAAATACCCATGAAAAAAAGGGCTGGTGGAGTGGCTCAAGTGGTAGCATGAGGCCAAGTCTGAACCCCAGTACCACCAAAAACAAAAAAACAAAAGAGAGAGAGAGAAAGAACAGAAAGAGAGAGACAGAGACAGACCACAGGGAGAAGCTGGGCACTGGTGGCTCACACCTGTAACCCTAGCTACTTGGGAGGCTGAGATCGAGAGGATCACAGTTCAGTTAGCCTGGGCAAATAATTCTTCAGATCCTCTTCACCCAAAAATAAGCAGAGCAAAATGAACTGGAGGAGTGGCTCAAGTGGTAGAGCGCCTGATTTGCAAGTGTGAAGCCCTGAGTTCAACTTCCCAGTCCCAACAAAATCAAAAAAAGAGAGATAGAACAGAGTGGGAGGAGTGTACCAGCACACCTGTCCCTTGCCAGAGTGGGGGTAGCGAGGGACCCAGGCCTCACCTCCACATAGGTGGCATTGTTGCAGGCCTCTGCGAAGATGCCTGGGGCTGCAGATGGTGTTGTGTCCCCATCTTCCAGACCTGGCTGTCCCCCATTTGTCTCCATCAGGGTTAGGAGATACTGGGCTGAATGGAAAAAGATGATCTCTGGGTTGGGGGTGGCATTTGGGGCTCCCCAAAACATCCTTCCTATCTTCTCAGCCTTCTCATCTTCATTTTCCCACTGTTTCTTCCACCCAGCTTCCAGAGACCCACCTACCTTGCCTGCCTAGTTGAACTCCTATACATCCTTTGAAGTACCAGCTCTGATGCCCCAAACTCCCTGTGGTATAGCCCTGATCCAGTGGGTCTGTGGGAAGCCGGTGATTGGCTATTTCCTGTGCCCCTGGCACTGTGTCCAGCTCAGGTAAAGTGACAGACAACATCAACATGCATGCCACTCTCATTAAGGCTGGGAACTCCCCCACCTCCTCCTCCCCTCCTCTGCTCACTGTTCTCCAAGCGCTGCAAGCTCTTCCGCCCCTTGGCCTTAGGCACCAGGTCGGAGTTCCGCACTGCTTGGTTGATGAAGTGCTGCTTCCGCCTGGAGGCTGACAGTCTCTTCACCTGGGAGCTGGCTAGCTCAGGCAGGCAACCCGGAAGGGGCCTGTGGGCCGGGAAATGGGCAATCCTCAAGACTAAGGCAAGCTGGATCCCAGCAGAACCTACAGCCGCCATTGCCTGCTTGGCTCCCCCACTGATACAGAGCTAGCTGAAACAATTGTGGTAACAGATTGGGAAACTGAGGTTCAAAATAGGGAAGATACTTGCCCAAAGTCACACAGCAGATGGGTAGCCAAGAAGAGCTGTGGCCCCCCTCACCCAAGCCTTCCAGATTTTTTTCTCATTGCAGTACTGGGGTTTGGACTTAAGGTCCAAACTTGCTAGGCAGGCACTCTACCCTTGAGCCACTCCACCAGCTGTGATGGGTTTTTTCAAGATAGGGTCTTACACACTATTTGCCTGGGCTCGCTTCCAACCATGATCCTCTTGTTCTCTGCCTCCTGAATAGCTAGGATTACAGGAATGAGTCACCAGTGCCGGGTGGTACTGGAATTTGAATTCAGGGCCTCAGCTTGCTGGGCAGGCACTTTACCACCTGAGCCAAGTCCCCAACCCTTTTTGTTTTATTTCTCAGGTAGGGTCTCATGGTTTGAGCTGGGACCACACTCAGACTGCAGTCCTCCTACCTGTGCTTCCTGGGATGACAGGTAAGCACCACAACACCCAGCTTTCTTGGTTGAAATGGGATCCTTCTGATCTCTGACTTCTGAGTAGCCAGGACTGTAGGTGTGAGAAACCATACCCACAAAGCCTTACAGATTTTAACCTCAAATCAGCAAGGCCTACAGCTTACAGGGACTTGAACACCAGCCCCTCTGGAAGTTGGAGAATCAAAACATTTAACTTTTATAAGTATTCTCCTCTACCCCCAGGTCAACCAGGAAACAGCACTCAGAAGGTCAAGATTATGGCTGAGCCCACAGGCTCAGATGCCCCAGTAGCCAGGATGGGGACAAGGAGGAACAGGAGTGCTCCTTTGAAGCTAATCACTCCTGCAGAGCTAATCCGTCCTCCCCTCATTGATCAGGGCTAATTGTGGGAATGGATTAGGTGGCACTGCCAGGCTCCCCACTGGGCACCTAAGGGCCAAGTCATTTGGTGGGAGGGGACAGACACTGAGTGCTGCATAGGGAGGGAGAAGGCGGAGGCTTGGTGGGGGAGGTTCTTGGAATAGAAACTCTCTGGTGAAGAGAAAACAGCATCAGATCCCCAGATAACAGGCTACCTTCACTGCACAGGGCCAACAGTGGACGCTGGGGGCTGGAGTGCCAGATTCTCTGTCCCCATATCCTAACCCCCCCTCCTACAGAGGCCCCTCACTCATCCTGCATGCCATGTGCTGTCCACCCCTGGCCCTTTGCATGGTGGAGCCACCTGCCTGGCATATCGCAGCCATGCCTGGCGTGCCATGGGAGCTCAAAAGTGTAACTGCTGAATCAAGCCTCAAAAAAGTCCTATCATGCCGGGAGCTGGTGGCTCATGCCTGTAATCCTGGCTACTTGGGAGTCAGATCAGGACGACTGTGGTTCAAAGTCAGCATGGGCAAATAGTTTGTGAGACCCTATTTCGAAAATTCCAAACACAAAAAAGGGCTGGTGGTGTGGCTTAAGAGGTAGAGAGCCTTCATAGCAAGAGTGAAGTCCTGAGTTCAAACTCCAGAACCACCAAAAAACCAAAAACCTGAAGTAAACAGGCTAGTGAGATCTATCTAAGGCTGGACTCCAGCAGTCAGACAGTAGGCTCCAGGGACAGCATTTTAGATGAAAGTCTATGCAAAATTATGCGATGGGTAAACTCACGTGCACACCAGTACCCATAAATAGAGACCATACAAAAGCCAAGTGTGGTGGGGCACACCTGTAATCCCAGTGCTCAGTAGGCTGAGGCCCGGAAGATCTTAAGGTTGAGGCCAGCTACATAGTGAGACCCTATCTCAAAACAAAAAATAAATAGGTGTGAATGCAGGCAGAGGTCTGAGTCAGGATTCAACTTGGACTGGGTTCTCAGGACCACCTTGCTGAGGCACCTACCACACTCAGAGACTAACTCCTTGCTGGACTGTAGAGGGGGCTGCAGGCCCAGAGGCTCAGCTCTGGGTTTTAATCCCTTGTTTTGCTCCACTCTGCTACCTGTAGCCTCAGCTCTGCAACACAGGGGTGACAGTGGTCCCCACAAGAGCCTTTAGGTCTGGGAAGGGCACTCAGAATCAGGAGGGCCAGACACCTGCTTGCTTTCCTCCTGTGATGGGGAGCTTACCCTCACACCATGGCTGGATGGAGCCTTTCCCCACCACCTGTGCCATCACCCAGTGTGCCAACCCATCAGAGACTAGCAAACCAAAAGTGCAAGTCCCTGTCCCCAGGCCCCACAGGTGGAGGAAGGACACAGCAACTTAGGTTCTCACCAGAGCAAGGCATCCACTGGGCATGATATGGATGCTCCTTAAGGCCAGGACAATCCCCTCCTACACCCTATGTTCACCCAGTCCCCCAGGGCTCCACCCCAGCAGCTGGACGGGGCTGATAAGAGGTCACATCCGAGGGGCCTGGCATCAACCCACTTTCACAGAGAAACCTCAAGCCTTGGAAAGCAGGGATCTCCCAACCAAGGCACATTCGAGGATGTGAACCTGGGTCTGACCTTGAGCTGCTAAGCTACCCTGCTGCCCCAAGCCTTTCAGACTGCAGCTTATCAGGCTTCTTCAGGTGTCAAAGCCTGGCCTGGTCCTGCCCCTGCTCCAGCATTACCCGTTGCTCCCCAGTGCCCATTGAGTGAGGCCCAACTAACTTCTCCTTGACTTAAAACTGGACCACACACAAGCCCATGCCTGGTTCCACAGGCATCTCAGAGGCTCACCGCCCTCTCATGGGCCTCAGGGTCAAGCTGAACACAGGGAATTCAAGCTAGAATTCAACTCAAGGTTCTGATTAGAGCAAGAAAAAAGAATCATTGGATTCAGAGTCACTGATACCCCACTGGAGACAGAGGGCATAGGGAACAAGGTGGGTAGGGGCAGACCAACCTATACCCAATCAGAGGCACCCTCAATGTGGCTCAAGCTGACTGGGACAGCTCCACCTCTGGGCCTTTGCATATGCCACTCCAGCACCTTTCTTGGCTTTCTGGTTTCTACCCAAATGCTACCTCCCTGGGCACACAGCCCCACCCCCCAGCTGCTCCAATCAGCTTTCTTCCTGCTTAACCAGTTGGCACCTGAAACCAGCTGGTCCCTTCCTTGTTTACTCTTTACCCTTCCCCTGGCTGCCTCCCTAGAACCTGGGGAAGAAGCTGAATCCCCAGTAGACAGTCCACAGCAGGGCTCACAGCAGGTTTGTTGAATGAATAACAAAAACTATTTACACATTCACACAGTGGAGACCACTTTACAGAGGGGGAACTGAGGACCAGAGGGAACTTGAGACTTCCTGGATCCAGCAGGCCTCAGGAAATGTCAACACTGTGGTGGAAGTGACTGGTACCCATGGAGGGGGGCAGGATGAAGGGTGCAAGGTACTAAGTTGGGAGGGGTCTGGGGAAAACAGGCTTCTTTGGGGGCCATTTCTTCTCCCTGCAGGTTTGGCTTGGAACCCTTGGCCAGGCCCACCCCTGAGCAAAACCCCATCTTTTCTGCACCCTCCTCCCCTCCCCGGAGGGCCAAGGAAACCACTTCCCCAGTAGGAAGTGGTGACTCAGCCTGGATAACAGGTAGGGGCCCAGCCGCCCCAACCAGGAAAGGGAGGGGTCCTGGCAGGTGAACATGCAAGACAGAGCTATGAGGAAGTCTTTCCAGAGGACACATTCAGCACACACAGACCTCTGTACACACCTAGGGACAGACCCGGATGGAAGCAGGCTGAGTCCACTCTGGGTGTGTGTGTAAGCACGACCTGTCATCCCTACACTTTAGAGGCTGAGGCAAGAGAACCTCAAGTTCAATGCCAGCCTGGACTACCTCGAGAGACCTTGCTTCAAAAAAATGTAAAAACCGAAAACAGGCATGCACTGTCCTTCTGATAAATGCTTGGTCTATTGGTCTGTGAAGGCCCACAAGTCTCTAGGTGAGTACCCAGATGGATGTACTAACAAAGTAACAATAATAAAGTAATAGTAGTAATAAAAAATGCAGTGATAAAACCATTTTAAAACAATACTAAAGCCAGGCGCCAGTGGCTCACACCTGTAATCCTAGCTACTTGGGAGGCTGAGATCAGGAGGAATCTAAGTTTGAGGCCAGCCCAGGCGAATAATTCCGAGACCCCATCTCCAAAATAACCAGAGCAAAATGAACTGGAGGTGTGGCTCAAGTGGTAGAATCCCTGCTTTGCAAAACTCGAAGCCCTGAGTTCAAACTCCAGTCCCACCAAAAATGAAACACAAAAATAACAAGACAGGGTAATTATTAAGAACAATAATTAAGAATGGACTGTCTTGGCCAGGCACCGGTGGCTCACTCCTACCATTCCAGCTACTCAGGAGGTGGAAATCAGAAGTTACTAGTTGGAAGCAGCCTGGGCAAACAGTTTCCCAGACCCTATCTCGAAAAAACCCATCACAAAAAAGAGCTGTTAGAATGATTCAAGGTATAGACTTTGAGTTCAAATTCCAGTATGCAAAAGAAAAGGAATGGATTGTCTCATTTGCTGGACACCCAGATCACTGACTCCAAGCATTTAGAGAAAAAGCCCACTGCCCCTATCCACTTCACAGTTGGGGAAAATGAAGCACGGAAAGACTCACAACCCACTGAGGTTCCATGTTCCATACTTGCAGGGGGCAGCAATGGACCCCAAGCCAAGTCCTTTTGTCTTCCCACACAAATGACTCTCAGGCACGGTGCAGACCACATGGTGAACCAGAGCACGACGCAGAACCCTGGCCCCAGAATGTCCACATCTAGTCAGCACTGCCCTCTGTTGAGTCCTCTGTGAGGACAGACCCCCTTCAACTTTATCTGGGAATTTATCCAGAGGGAGACAAAGAGCCCCATCTGCCAGGAAGGTGGGAGCTGGAACCCGCCGGCGCACTGAGGATGGGCGCAGGTGAGCACCTAACAGGTGAGCGCAAACCGCGCAGGTGTCAAAGTCCAGACCGCGGCAGCTTTCTGAGCACACGTCCCCGCCTCATGGGGCCAAGACGCCCAGGGGGTAAACCCTTGGAGAGGGACACGGGGGAGGGGGCACCGATGGAGTAAGTAAAAGCATCCAGGGGGTGCTCCTCCCAGCAAGCACTCGGCGCGCGGCGGGGAGCTGTGCTTCCGTGGAGTAAGCACTTGGGGGTCAACAGACCACCCCAAGAGAGGAAAGGGGGCGGGGACCGGGGAGCCCGGGAGAAGAAAACTGAGTTATGAAGGAGGAGGAGGACTAGAAGAAAGAGGGAGGGGGCGAGGGAGGAGGAGGCCGAGCCTGCAGGGAGAAGAGGGGAAGGAGACCCGAGCCCACGGAAGGAGGAAGAAGGGGAGAACAGGAGGAGGGATGGAAAGGGGAGGGGGAGGGATGGAAAGGGGAGGGGGAGGAGGAGGATGGCAGAGGAGACACTGGGTCGAGGGGAAAAGGAAGACCCTGTCGCGAGACGGTGGGGCGGGGTGGGAGGCAGGAGGAGGCCCGAGCCCCGCGCCCGCCCGCCGTCCACGCGCTCACAGCATCCGCCGCCCGCCCGGGGCGCCCCCCGCCGCCGCCGCCGCCGCCTCCTCGGGGCCGCCCTCCGGGTTCTCCAGCGCGACCATGGCTCGGGCAGCCGCGGACGCCGCGCCCGGCTGGACCTGCTCGGGCCGGCAGGAAGTGACGGCCGCGGGGGGCGGGCCGGGGCGGAGCCTGCATCTGCACGCCGGGCGGGGCCTGCCGGGTCCCAGCGCCGAATCTCCGGCAGCGGGACCGCAAGATCCGGGTGGCGAGGGAATGGCGTCCCCGGGATGGCAGACACCCACACCGACCCCGACCCCGACCCCGACCCGGGCTCCCTCTTACCAGCCTGCTCAGGTCTCTCTGCGGTCAAGGGCAGCCCCGCCCGCGACTCAGCCTCTGTTGAGTCTTGGAAACCCGCCGACGCCAGCGCCCAACCTCTTTCCGCCTCTTAGGGGTTCTTCGTTCGACAAATGGTCGCGGGACTGGGCCGGGTGCGGGGCGCTGGGGATCCAGGGGTGAGCAAGACGGCCCCTCCCCCACCTCGTGGTGGGGCAGACGGTGGGGCGGGTGCCTTGGGGCGCTCGAGGGAGGCCTCCAGGAGGATAGACGGGCTGCAAAAGCTTCCCAGAAGCAGGAAAGGTGTGTGAGCGAGGGAACAGACAGTGCAAAGGCCCTAGGGCATCCAGAGTCTTAGGTGAGCCTGGTGTCCTGTGTTGTCAAGTCTGTTTTTTGTGTCCTCTGGGTGGTGGAGAGCCATGGGAGGATCTGAAGCGGAAAATTAAAATGCTGTAGGATCTACAACCCATTGTTAAGTCCACCAGAAATATGTTTGACCAAGGACCCAAAGGTAGTGTTCATGCCCAGGCGTGAACCTGCCAGATTCTGCATGGTGGAAATTGTGCAGGACAAAAGACCTGATTGCTTTAATAAGTAAAGAGTAAGGGGAGAAAAGAAAAAAAAGAGAAACTGTTAAAAGACCCAAATAAGGCTGGACTCTGGTAGCTCACACTTGTAATCCTAGCTACTCAGGAGGCAAAGATCAGGAGGATCACGGTTCAAAGCCAGCCCAGGTAAATAATTGGTGAGACCCTATCTTGAAAGGTGTAGGCCCTGAGTTCAAATCCTAGCACCGAAAAAAAAAGAACAAATGGAGATATAGCTCAAGCTGTAGAGCACCTGCTTTGTAAGCTCAAAATCCTGAATTCAAACCTGTCCCACCAAAAAAAAGACAGGCAAAATAAGTGAATGGTAGTACAAATTGGGAAGAGAGGGTGCCCCAGGTGAGTGACTGGGAGAGGATTTGGGGGGGGTAGAATGTTAGGTTTCTAGTACCTTTTTAACACCCTCCTGGGCTCTCAAACTCCCAGTTTCTTGACCCCTCAGCCTGTCCATGAGCTGCTGCTTCACAGAGCCCCCAACTGCAAGGTCCAGCCCAGACTCAGCAGCTCCCCCAAACACTCCCCAGCTCCCTCATCCTATCCTTCATTATCGCCTCAGACAGTGTAGCTCCTTTGCTGATTTTTTTTTTTTAAGTAAAGCTGAAGAGTTTATTGAGACAGAAAAGTAGCAAAGAGTAGAGCTCCCAGAGTTGGGAGAAGTCCTAAGAGAGGATGACCGCTGATTTTTTTTTTAAAACATTGTCAAGAATAATTTTTTGACCAAGGCATGGTGGTACTTTCTGTAGTCTCAGCTTCTCAGGAAGCTGAACAGGAGGATCTCTTGAGTTCAGGAGTTCAAGACCAGCCTGGGTGAAATAGCAAGAGTCTATCAAAAAACAATCTTCTAAGGCATAAAAAGGATGAGCACAGAAACATCTCCCTTCTCCCCCCAGGCTCCTTTCTGGAGATATTTGGTGTACCTGTAAACCATGTATATTTACCTCCCCCTCATCCCTTTCTGTGTGTGCTTTGCTGGGGATTGAACCCTGGGCACTTCACATGTTAGGCAAGAGTTCTACCACTTGAGCCATGGCCCTACTATCTTTCCCTTTTGAGTCTGGACCCCCACCCCACACATATCTAACGGGTCCTCCACCCCCACCCCTTGCTGGAAATGAACCCAGGTCCTTGCACTTGCTAAGTATGTGCTTCACCACTGAGCAGACCCCCAGCCTCAGTCTTTTTCTCTACTGCCTAGTTATCCACAGTGGCCTAAATATTCCAGAACCCAGGATCTACTGTGGCCCCCCGTCCCCGCCTTCCCTCTTGGGGGTCAAGATGGCCGCCTTTGTGAATCGCCCTCCACTTTGTTCCTGCTGCCAACAGCAAAAGCGCCCACGTTCCAAGGAGGTGCTAGCCACTCGCTGCCACCAACACTGAGGCTAATTTGCAAAATTCAGTCGAAAATCATATCATGGGGGGGGAAATGACCCAATCATTGTATGCACATATGAATAAAATAAAATTAAAAAAAAAAAGAAAATCATATCCTTCACCTGCCCTGAAACTTCCATGGCTCCCAGTGTCCTAGATACATCCCCTCAGGGCCAAGGCCAGCCTTGGCCCACCGGCTTGGAGCCGAGCTCTCTCCTACCAACCGGTTGAAGCACACATATCCCCTTCCCTGCTCCTCTAGACGTTCTCCTCCCTCCTGTTCTCTCCTGCGCTCACACACTGGTCATGCACCCTGAGGAGCGCAAGGTGGGAAGTTGCTGAGCGGGGGATGGTGGGCGCGCAAAGGGAGGGTTCTGAGAACCGCTACAGGAGAGGCGCAAAGGCGGGGACAAGGGGGCGGGGGACGCAGGGTATAAACGTGCGGCCTCTGCAGCCAGAGCAGAGGAGCCGCTGAGCCCAGCTGAGCCACTTTCCAGATTTCACCGCCTCCAGCCGAACCCCTTCCCAGGCTTTGCGCGCATTCCGGGTTAGCGGCTGGGAAGAGGAGCGTCCCCACAGCAGTCCCAGGACTCAATCCCGGTTAGCGGCCGGAGGACCAGGTCGGCGAGACCATGCGTGTCGCGGTTACGTCGGGGCCCAACACGTCCTGGTGGGCGTTGGCCAACGCGTCGGGGTGCCCCGGTTGTGGCGCCAACGCCTCGGACGGCATGGACCCCATGCCGCGGCTGCTGGACGCCTGGCTTGTGCCTCTGTTCTTTGCTGCGCTGATGTTGCTCGGCTTGGCTGGGAACTCGCTGGTCATCTACGTCATCTGCCGCCACAAGCAGATGCGAACGGTGACCAACTTCTACATCGGTGAGTGCAGGGCGCCTTGCCGGCTTGCCCTTCCCGGACCGCTACGGGACATTGTAGTCAAAGGCGCCCCCAGGCGGCAAATTGGGCTTTCCAAATCACTGCCTATCCCCTGCCAGGTGTCCCACCACCTCCTGTTCTTTCGCCTGCGTCCTTCCCTGTACCTTAAGGCCACAGTCTCAAACTATAGTTCGGGAACTCCCATGCGGGCCGGAGTAACTAATGGGGAGGTTGACGAGTACGCATGGACACCTCGGGCCTGCCACTCGCGGAAGGTGTCCTATGTGACGTAGTTCTATGACAAAAGGAGTAAGGGGAGGCAGACTTGCCCACAAGTATCGGTTTGCGCCTTCTGCCCCTTTGGCTCTCTGAGCCTGTTTCCTACGATGTTGATTTGATTGGAGACAAGGAAATTGGCTCAGAGGGGCAGGGCCTGCTCCAGAGCGAGAAGAATGGCCAAGTCCGTGCTAGGGGAAAAATGAAGGGTGCCTAAATTTCTCTGGCTGAGGATGTGGGGCTCACTCGGACAAGGCTGGGAGCCTGAGAGCCGGCCCAAGAGCGCTGGACCCCACGACCAGCGCCCGTGCGTTTCCCATCTGCAGCCAACTTGGCGGCCACGGATGTGACCTTCTTGCTGTGCTGCGTGCCTTTCACGGCCCTGCTCTATCCGCTGCCCGCCTGGGTCCTGGGCGATTTCATGTGCAAGTTCGTCAACTACATTCAGCAGGTGGGCGGCACGTCAAAGGGTTTGGGGAAGCCGGTGGGCTACAGGATTGGTAAGAAGTCCTAGTGCTGGGCTGCCTGGGGCGGAGTTTGGGCGGGGGCGGGGTATGGACGGGACTAGTTAACTGGGCCACTAGTAGAATGGGGGCGGGGCTTGCGAAGGGACCCTCCGGCGCCCTGGTCTAGGGGAAGGTGGTTCCTGGACAGGGAGCTGTCACATGGTTTGGGGGGTGGTGAGCACAAGGAAGGCGGTCTAGGTCCTGCAGCTTCTTGCCCCCCATGTACGGCCATTCCAGAGAGGCTCTACCGTTTCCCAGCTCAGACTCGGGGTATCAGGCGACCCCTATTGGTTCCCTCACTCCCCCGTCCTCCTGGGCTTCTCTTCTAGTTCTCCCTCTCCTGTCCTCCAACCCGTAGCCACTGGACACCCTTCCTATGACACGTTCGTGTGCGCCCGAGATGTTGGACATATGGGGGACTGAGATGGCAGAATGACAGGGCATACGACCAGCTTCCCTCTTTCCCAGGTCTCGGTGCAGGCCACGTGTGCCACCCTGACGGCCATGAGCGTGGACCGCTGGTACGTGACGGTGTTTCCTCTGCGCGCCCTGCACCGCCGGACTCCTCGCCTTGCATTGGCCGTCAGCCTCGGCATCTGGGTGGGTGAGTGCAGCGCGGGGGGCCGCGCGGGACGATGGGAAAGTCCGTGTTCTCAGGACACCCGGGGCTATCCGCTGCCCCTGCCCGGCCTCCCTGCCACGAAGATGCTTACGCGGGAGCGTGGCACTGGGCAGGAAGTCGGGGAACGCAGCCCCGGGAAGCTCCTGGGGAGACGAGGCCGGAGCCCAGCTCTCCGCGCCCCGTGTCCCTAGGGCAGGGTCTTAATCCTCGCTTGTGGCGCAGGCTCAGCGGCAGTATCTGCCCCGGTGCTCGCCCTGCACCGCCTCTCGCCAGGTCCGCCCACCTATTGCAGCGAGGCATTCCCCAGCCGCGCCCTCGAGCAAGCTTTCGCGCTCTACAACCTGCTGGCGCTCTACCTGTTGCCTTTGCTCGCCACCTGCGCCTGTTACGGGGCCATGCTCCGCCATCTGGGCCGCGCTGCCGTGCGCCCGGCGCCCACCGACGGTGCCCTGCAGGTGCGCAGCTGTGCAGGGCGGGGTGGTGATGGAAGCTTGGCTGCGGGAATCTGAGCCCAGGGGGTCTAGGAGGTGAGCTGGGGGATTGGCTCAGCTCTAACCAGCCCTTCTGCTCTCAGGGCCAGCTGCTGGCCGAGCGCGCGGGTGCAGTACGTGCCAAGGTCTCACGGCTAGTGGCGGCGGTGGTCCTGCTCTTTGCTGCTTGCTGGGGCCCGATCCAGCTGTTCCTGGTGCTGCAGGCACTTGGCCCAGCTGGCACCTGGCACCCTCGAAGCTACGCCGCCTATGCGCTCAAGATCTGGGCACACTGCATGTCCTACAGCAACTCAGCCCTGAACCCGCTGCTCTATGCGTTCCTGGGCTCCCATTTCCGACAGGCCTTCCGCCGGGTGTGCCCCTGTGTCCCACGACGTCAGCGTCGACCCCGTGCGCCTGGACGCTTGGCCCCTGTCGCCCCCCATGCGGAGCTGCACCACCTAGCCGCACATCCTGCCCCTGCTAGAGTGCCTAAGCAGGGGAGCGGTGGAGCAAACAGGCTGTGTGTCCTGGGGGGACCCTCTGCCCCTCTCTGAGCCAACTCTGTGGGAATTCACCTGGGCCCCTCTGGAGGGGGCTGCTTGAGCAGCAGTTAGTCTGTTATGAATATTTTTTATTATCGTTCCAGATAATCAGTGAAAATGTTTTGTCCTACTGTTATGGTTGGCACGGGATTGCCACAATCTTTGCTATTGATATTGTAATGGTCATTTCTGTAATTCCTCATGTGAAGATGTGTTAATATCTGTACCTTCTCCATCTTTCCAGAAAGGGTCAGACGTTTTCATGCACTGTCTTGTGGATCCAGGGGACTCGGAATGTAGCTCAGTGATAGAGCAGTCCCTAGCATTACAAAACAAAACAAAACAGAAAGTAACAGCCACCTACTTTTAGATTAAAATATGAAAACAAGAACACATAGGAAGGGTTAGCAGAGGGGCTCAAGTGGTAGAGTACCTGCCTTAGCAAGCTCCAGAACAGAAGTTCAATTCCCAGTACTGCCAAACCAATGAACAATAATGTACATCTTAGAATGAGTGAAAGAGTTACTTGTTGCCACCTGCTGAGTGGTGGGCTCTCCAGCTGAGTGGTGGGCTGTCCACACAGCAGCTTGGGCTTCACCCTGCCTGGCAGCCTTGGGCAAGTCATACTCCTTGGCAGGAGCTTCCAGAAGGGAATAAAATGCAAAAACGTTTTTGGAGCCGGGCGCCAATGGCTCATGCCTGTAATCCTAGCTACTCAGGATACAGAGATAAGGAGGATTGTGATTTGAAGCCACCAAATAGTTTAGGAGACTCCATCTCAAAAACAAAACTCATCACAAAAAAGGGCTGGTGGAGTGGCTCAAGGTATAGGCCCTGAGTTCAAACCCCAGTACCATTAAAAAAAAAAAAAGGAGAAGAATGTTTTTGGGAGACAGGGTTTCTGTATGTAGCCTACGCTGGCCTGGAACTTGCAATCCTCCTGCCTCCACCTCCTGAGGGCTGCGATTACATACAATCCAGGGCAGTGCCTTTTAGTACATTCACAGATATGGGCAACCACCACTTCTAATTCCAGAACATTCCATCACCCCAAAAGGAAGCCTCATCCCCTCCCAGCTCTTGGCACCTACAAGTTCACTTCCTGTCTCTGGATTCGCCTGTTCTGGACATTTCTTGTCATAGGACACACATGCGTGGGGCTTTGTGTGTCTGCTTCTCTTACTGAGCACAGTGTCCTCAAGGTTCCTCCACATTGTAGCATGTGTCAAAGCCTTGTCCTGTTCCTGGCTGAGCGATGCTCTAGCGTGTGTATGACCTCTGGACATGGCTCTTACAGATTGTGCTACTGTGAGCCCTCTCATACAATCTCATCTCTTTGTGTATCTTTTGCATTTTGGATAAAAAAGAACACGGACTGGCAGTGCCTTAAGCGGTAGAGCACCTATCTAGCAAGTGTAAGGCACTAAGTTCAAACCTCATACCACAAAAGAAAAGAAACAAACAAACAAAAAACTCGTTGCAAATTCTACAGCCAAAGTGAAATGGTGGTGGTTGTTTTTTGTCTTCTAACTCCCCCCACCCCCATAAGCCCTTGAGCAACCAGGTCAGTACATCAGATGTCACTTCCTTCTCCCAGCTTCTCAGGACAGAGGGTCTTCAGGGCCTTGAAACCTTGACGTCAACAACAGGCCACATGTCTGCCCTGCTCTGGGACCCACCATGGCTCCCTATTGTTCTCAGAAGAAAGCCCAACTCCATCCTGGCTGACAATCTCCAAGCTCACGGGTCCCCCACTGTCTCCAACTTCTCTATTTGGTTGCAAGGACTCTTAAGACCCACCTTGTGTGGGCTGGAGCTGAAGGTGAAGAACTGAGCCCTGGGTGGGTGGAGCTATGGAGCAGCCTGAAGGGTAGGACTGAGGGAGGCAGAACCCCTCCCTCATCGGGCTCCTCTGCAGGCCTGCTCCATTTCTCGTACAGTCCCAGGCCTCCCCCATAATCCAAGGACATGGTAAGCCTCAACATGAGACCTCCACATGAGCTGAGATGCCGCTGTGAGGACAAGAGGCAATTCTGACCTTGGACTTGATTGTTCAGGTCTTCAAGGCCTACTGTACTATGCTGAACATGAGGGCAAAATTCTGCCTGCAGGTCCTGTCCACCTCCTCCTCTCCTCCACCCCCAAAACTTAATATCTTGTCTTGCCTTTGCATGTGGGATTTTCTCTTTACTCATTCATTCTCTCAGCTCAGCTGCCTCTGCCTCAGGGAAGCCCTCCAAGATTTCTTCAGGCTGGGTGGAGAGCATCTCCGGGGCCACCCAGCTAGGCCCCCGTTATGGGTCTAATCATCTCGTGCTATTCCTGCTGGGTTCTGTCATATTCATAGGACGGAATAGATATTTGTGGGACAAATAGCCAAGAGTGCTGTAGCATGGACAGAAGGACTTGTGGGATTTCTCTTGAACAAATTTTAAAATGCATCTAGCTATGTGTGTAGGAGGAGTGTAAGTTCAAGGCCAACCTGAGCTTAGTATGTAGGGAGACTCTGAATCAAAATAAAACAAGTAAGGACTTGAGGTGTGGCTCAAGTGGTAGAGTGCCTACTTTGCAAGCGTGAAGCCCTGAGTTCAGACCCCAGCCCCACCAAAAAAAAAAAAAATCTAGAACAAGTTCAAAATAAAACAAGTAAAACCACACCCACATTTAAAAGGGACTCTTAGTTAACCTAGAAGGTAACACACACGCACAGGAAATTAATGTGAATCAACTCCCTGTGTAGCTATCCTTATCTCAACCAGCAAAAACCCTTGTTCCTTCCTATTATTGCTTATACTTTCTCTACAACAAAATTAGAAATAAGGGCAAAATAGTTTCTGCTGGGTATTGAGGGGGTGGAGGGGAGAGGGAGGGGGTGGAGTGGGTGGTAAGGGAGGGGGTGGGGGCAGAGGGGAGAAATGACCCAAGCCTTGTATGCACATGTGAATAATAAAATTTTAAAAAATGCAAATGAGAAAAAAAAAAGGGACTCTTAGACACCAATCCCACAGAAGCAAAAACTTACATACACGCTAAAACTTGTCCACAAATCTTCCTCACACTCTTCTTGGTGATAGGCGAAAGCTGCAAAGTACCTGCATGTTCTTCAATGGTTAGACAAGAGGCAGCAGTCAGAGGGAGCAGTCTTCATACCAGGAAATCAGTGCTGTGTTACGCAGACTTTTTCTCCTGACAAATACCTGAGAGAAACAGTTTAAGGGTTTGGGTTTGGAGTTTCAGTCTGTGGTTAGCTGCTTGGGCTGTCTCTGGGGGGTGTAAAGCTGAGTATTACTGTAGAAGGACGTGGCAGGGAAAAGCTGATTGACAAGGAGGCCAAGAAACAAAAGAGACAGAGTGGCCAGGGACAAGGTATGTCATTTCAGGTGACACTCCAGTGATCTCCTTCCTCCTGCCAGGCCCCACTTCCTATTTTCCACCAAATGCCATAAGACCACCAAGGGGTTAATCCACTGTTGCGGCCTCAGGAGCCAATGGTGTTTTTGTGTGTGTGTGATACTGGGGCTTGAACGCAGGGTCCACCTTAAGCCACTCCACCAGCCCTTTTTTGTGAAGGGTTTTTTTGAGACAAGTTCTTGTGGAACTATTTGCCCAGGCTGGCTGGCTTCAAAACATGATCCTCCTGATCTCTGCCTCCTGAGTAACTAGGATTACAGATGTGAGCCACTGGCACCTGGCTGCCAATCACAGTTGGATCCACCAGCTGAGGACCAAGCTTAACGCACATGAGCTATTTGGGGAGAAAGTTCATTTCCAAACCACAACAGATACTAGCGTGGGAAGCCAATCCCAATGCAAAGGGTCACATAATGTAAGACTCTATTATTATGACAACCTTGAAATGACAGAGTGGAGCCAGACATGGTGGCTCATGCCTGTAATCCTAGCTGCTTAGGAGGCAGAGATAAGGAGGATCACAGTTCAAAATCAGACTGGGCAAATAGTTTGTGAGACCCCCATCTCGAAAAAACCCATCACAAAAAATGGTTGGTGGATTGGCTAAAGGTATAGGCCCTGAGTGCAAACCCCAACACCACACACATACACACAAAACACAAAAGAGGGTCGGCAGAGTGGCTCAAGTGGTAGAGTGCAAGGCCCTGAGTTCAAATCCTAGTATACTACTGCAAAAAAAAAAAAGAGTTCAAGGTCAGACCAGGCAAAAGTGTGAGATCCTATCTAAAAAACAAAGCAAAGAGATTGGAGGCATGGCTCAAGCAGCGAAGTGCCTGCCTAGTAAGCAAAAGGCCCTGAGTTCAAACCCCAGTACTAGCTGGGCGCCAGTGGTTTGTGTCTGTAATCCTAGCTACTTGGGTGGCTGAGAATGGGAGGTCTTCAGTTTGAGGCAGCCCAGGTAACTAATTCTCCACAATAACTAGAGCAAAATGGATTGGAGGTGTGGCTCAAACCTACTTTGTGAGCCCAAAGCCCTAAGTTCAGCCTCTGATGGGGACACACAAATACACACATACAGAATGGAGAAAAGGGAGGATGATGGAGGACACATGAAGGAACCTGTGGTCCATGACAGTGGACAGACAGGTGCTACTTAGGAAGCCTAGTGACAGGTAGGTATTCTGGATCTCTCCACAGGATGTCCTAAACTGCATGTGAAGTTACAATTGTTTCAAAGTAGAGTTTAAAAAAAACAAAGCATTGAAGGGACATCTGGAAGAGGAGTCATCTGTAAGCTGTCAACCTGCATGCATTCTCTTCCTTTGTTCTGTTTACTCAGCTGTGTGCCAGAGGGCTGGGTAACCACAGGGAGGGAGCAGACCCCAGCCCCAGCTAGAGATTCAAAACAAGTGGTGCCTCTTCGGTGTGCTTTGTCTGTAATCCTAGCTATTTGGAAGGTGGACATTGGGAGGTGAACTCAGGCAAAAAGTCCAAGAGACCCCATCTCAATTAATGAAAACTGGGTATGATGATGCGTGCCTGTCATCCCAGTAATGGCCTGGATAGAGGTTCAGGCCAGCCTGGGCATAAATGAGAGAGAC